CCACGGTAAGGACAGCAGACCACGAAATCAACTCAGAAACTCCTCAGTTCAGCTCATCTGCCGTCGCGAAGATATCACCTCTACCCTCGAGCATCTTGACATGAGCGGGTTCCATGAGCCCGGTCAACTTTGAACCGATGCCATGGACGGCGATTGATCGACTATCTGCCGCAGCATCGCTGCCGTCTCGTCCCGCTGTTTTTGCTGTAACGCAGTGTGTGGCATACTTCAAGTCCACTATCAGCTCGCCACGCTCACTTTCTAGTGAAGGAAACATTGCATCACATGTCTTGAATGAAGGATCGAATTGCAGTGCGGGGCGCCGAAATGGGGAGCTTGACTTACAGGCAGGTGGTATGAGTAACATGTTCTCCGATCAATGGTGGTCATACTGCCCGGGCGGGTTTGATTGTAAATAGGGGCACCAGATCGGACATAACGGCTAAGCTCCGAGCCTGTGCCGCGGAATGATAGCACAGGCTGTGTGGCACAGGCCAAGGCCCAGCGGCCCGACCCGCTGTGGCCCACTGGGCTAGTCCTCTCCACCGGCGCTGAACTGCCCGAAGAAGACAGCTAACGGGCCGTGATTGGTGGGCACTGCGCTGGCTAAGGTAGCGACGGAGCCCTACTTGCGGCATTGTTCCGCGGCATTGGCGGGCACTGGCGGAATGCTCGTGCTCCCAAATGCCATCGCTACCATCAATCATCATTAATCCATCAATCTCCATCAACAAGTCACAATCGACGATGGCCTCCTCGTCGCATTAACCATCTGCCGGCGGAGCACCCAATGAACACCTCGACACATGCATTTCTGGGCGAGTCTCGTGTTGAAGCGTGATTGCTTCTCCTGGTCTGGAGTCTTGGTGTCTCTCGTTCATCGTCCACCGTCGGGACCAGGCCTAATTTGGCCATGAGAGCCTCGCTGCCCGAGTCTTGATGTTTCTTCCTCCCCTTTCATTTTCCCCTGACCCCGTGCTCTCCTCAACTTGAAGAGACCGTCAGTTGTAGAGGCTTCGGACTCGGACTCGAATCCAGATCTACACGCAACTTTCCGTCTTTTTACGAGCACAACCCAGCCGGCAAATTCCACCGCCGATGCGGCCCATCGACGAAATGACTGTTCCCGCGACTCGGCGGCTGGATATAAGGTGGTGAGGACGCGGCGGCTTGCTGACGTCTGTTGAAAAGTCCACTGGAGCTCCGGAAACGCTGCGGTGGCGAGGCGCTGGGCTCGCGCTGGGCTGCTAGATGGCATTGTGCCGTGTTCACGGTACTGCTATCGGTATGTCTTCTGTCTCTGCTGCTTAGTGCGCGTTGTCGCTGTTACCGAGGAGCTTGTCGTGATGAGTGCGAGTGCGAATTGGATCAGGGACCTTGCTGACTTGTGGGTTGATCTAGGGCCGCCTGTCTACCTGCTCTATGGTTCCATCTCCTCCTGCTCTTCGTCCATCCGACAGCTTAGTTGCCGAACTGGCGAGACCCGACGATCCATATCTCTAGGTATCTTGCCGTCTCGCCCGTCTCAGTCCGCGTCGTACCTGCTGCGATGCCGTCGTCGACAACAATCTACGGACTAGAAGACCCGGCGCAGCCTTCCTTCGTACACCTTCTTAGCCGGCCATTTTATATACATACTATGGAAATCTCGATCTTAGACGTCTAGTAGGCTGGAACTCTGGCTGATAACCATATTTGCTCTTGTGCCTTATGCCCGTTCCAGGATCCCCAACTGCTTTTGGTAGCGACTCGATAGCACCACGCGAGCTCAGCTACTTTTTTTCGTCTGGGCAGGACAGCCAGTCGGTGATGTTAAGCTCTTTTTGTGTCATTTGATATGCAGGTTAATCTCTTTAAGTTCCAGACCACATCATAGCTGCACATGGATCCCTCCCGCCTTGACAGTTCTTCAGAGGGAAGCCGACGGCTTCCTAAGATTGAGCCGTCTCTACGAGCACGGTTTTTGACGACGAGTCCTATTGAACAAGGCTTAAACGACACAAAGTCCAGCCTCAGGCGAGCCGTCCGTTGTCCAACTGCGCGCGGGTGTCTCGAACTCAGGTCATCCTCATTCAACTCGCCCAGAGTCCGCTCCCACTCCCAATCTGTAGTCTGCCCCGAGCGGCAATCACCTGGGGGGGATGAAGGAACAGGTCGGTCAACTCCTGGATGTGGAAACCCCCACTAACATACGGCGTATGACACCCCAATGCCACAGCTGCATATGGATACCTCCCGCCTTGGAAGCACAGCATTACCGCTTACAACGACGCCATGATCGCGTACCTCAAAGCAATGATCAAAGAGAAGTGTATTGGCTGGCCTCGAGGCCGAAAGCTTTGGGAGACTGGCTTCTACATAAGGGGCCATGGGCACTGCCGAGGCTAACGATGTGTCGGTCCCTAAGAACAAGCAGCGTTTTGCCAACCTTGAGAACAGCAAGAGGCGCAAAAGATGGGAGTGTCGGCGGTACTTGGGGCGTAGAGTTGGCTGACCACAACGACCGCGGGTCGGGAGGGACAGGAAGAAGAAGGGGCTCCGGATTGTACTCGTCGTCGGTCGACATCTCTAGTGAGCGGTTCTGTTATAAGGGGAAGCTTCACACCACCAGGCAGCAACCTAAACTTATGTTGCTTGTCCGTCATGAGCGCATCCGCCATCATAGCGGCATCGTCGGCGTCGTCATGACTCAACTCGTGGCTCAATTGTTCTATTTTCCCCTGTAAGTGGTCGACAGCGGGCTCTTTATCCTCGGCGTCCTCTTCGTCATCGTTGTAACGGCCTCGCTTGCGTCTGGATGACGAGTGGTCGTTTTACGAGGAGTGCGGTTCCGGGCTGAATTCCCGACGATGGGTTGCGTACGCCTATTTCCAGCCTCGCTAGCTCGTTCATGTCCTTGGCCAAAGCATTAATTAGGTGAAACCACGTTGGGCAAGCTTTCGCCGTTGTTTTGTTTTTTTGATCGAGCTTTTGACGGTGCACACCCCGGCCGTGTCAAGCCGAGGGCGCGGCGACTAGTGGTGCGATCTGGGATCGAAGAGGGGATATTTCCTGTCTCGTTTGGAAATTGCGTCGTTTCGAGGCTGCAATCGCCTCGTCTCGCTCTCGACGTAGATTTTGGCTGTGAGCTGACCCTGCAAGTCCACGATCTGTTATTGAAGATGAGGGTCGGACGGAGGTAGCTCGCTGGTGCTTCCTGTGGCTATCAGCCGCGTCGGCTTAGGAGTCTAGGCCGGCAGCAGCAGCAGCAATGTCTTGGGACGGAGTTCTGGTCTTGCACTGGACCGGCCCTCTGGGTGAAGTTCTTTGCGCCTTGTACTCTGCACGAAGCTTGTTTCATTATGTGCCCAATCGCTTGAAACGAAAGGGTTGCCACTGAGCTCGTCGATGTTCCTTAGCATTGCTGGCCTGGGGCGGCCACATCATCTTCCAAGGTTGATCCGGCGGCCACGGGACGTGGTACCTGGGGTGGGGATGCACGACCTCTCGGAGAGGGACGCGCACGTAGGCAGGTGCCGGGCAAGAGGGATCCCACAGGGAGTAGCCCCGTCGCGGTAGGAGAGGTTCGGAGTTCAACTCCCGGTATGGGACGAGCACGTAAGCAGGTCCTGGACACGAGGATCAGTTCCGCGTATGCAAATCTCGCGAAATGGGTGGGCGTTTGGGATCATCAGCGACCATATCGTCTTGTGATCCTGGGTTGGTGGCGGATGTCGTCGTTGTCGTTGTCGTTAGTTGGCAGAGCATCGAGCAGCAATCACCTTATATATGAGTCTCTTGACAACTTGAGCGACGAGGACCGAGAGCCTGTATCGTTTTGTAGATGGGTGTTACGGCACTAGATGGCAGCCCCGCAACCCCAGTGGTATATATACCAGATCATGTCAACTAGCTAGCTTCATAGTTTCTTTCCTTCTTCACGTACATCAACAAAGTCGTTTGTGGAATCACCAGCAGTCGTACTGTGAAAATGGGCCAGGTATGGATCGCCTGGGCTTGATCATGCTTGTTGCTATTCAGTGAGGACAGGACAGGTGGTTTGAGCCTTGATTAATAGGAGTCGTTGTCGAAAATTGTGCTCGTAAAGAGACGGCTCCTTTAGTTAAGCACTACCCCAGCTTGTCCTTAAACTCGATGGCCTTCTTGGTAACGTACTTCTAGGGCGGCGTCAAGTCGCGCGACATTACATCCCGCTTCCAATCGGCAGAGCGGTGCTCTTCGGAGCACCATTGACCCCCGGCCAGAGGGACGAGAGGTGTTGTAGAGCGGACTCTACGGCGAACTTGCTGCGTTCGTCTTGACCTTGGGCTCAGGCGAGGGATACTCCGTGGCGGGCATATGGGAAAAGGATACGAAGGACGCGAATCGCCGTAGTAATAGCTCGTTTGCAAAGTTAGGTGCTGGACTGGATCATCGTGGACGAGCCAAAGTTGCCCAGTTTGACCGAGTTATTCTCTATAAGAAACTCTATCTAAAATCAGCTAAGGCGTACAAGCAGAGCATCATGGGTTGGCCCACCGGTCTCGGGCTTCAGGTTACAGTATATAATCGTCATACTCCCTGGGGTTTCCTGGGACGGGCTTAGACATGGCTTCGTGGGACGATTGTACAGCCTGGGTGGGAGTCGGACGGTGTGAAGATGATCCTTTTGGTGCGAAAAACTTAAGGCTGCTACCGTTCACATTTACTTCGAGCTAGGTTATCGTATTGCCAATGCAAATGCAGGACCCTGACTCGGCCATCACTAGATATCATATCGCCATGCATGCATCCAGTCGCTGCTCACCGTGCCGTGGCCGACAGCGCCGCCGACAGCGCCGCCGACGCCGACACCAACCAGAGCCTCAGCTCACTCTGCTTGCTCGTCGCGCCCGCTCTATCAAACGATCGCCTCTTTAATTAATCGTTCTGCAACTAGAACCCGCGCGGTCGTTGTCCTCTTTGATTATGCTCAACAGAAGGTAGACCCGGGCGGCGACGATCTTGACGAAGAGTCGGTGTTACCCGTGGTCGGGCTTCTCGAGCTCGGGCTTGCGCCAGCACTCAGGCAGGAGAGACGTCTGGAATAAGCCGATTCCGGGTCTTGCGTTGGCAATGCGGTGGTCATCTTCGAAGTAAATGCGAACGGCGGGAGCATCGCGCCCGAATATTGCAATAAGGGCGCGTTTGCGGCCCTTAACGATGACCCACCAGAGCGCGTAGCGATCACCGCTGTTCACGTCATCCCAATAACTGACAGTACCCATTTCGAAAGTGTACATGATGATGATGCCTTGTCGCGCAGCAGCTGGAGGGGACGAGCGGAAAGAAATGTCACAGTAGCACCCCTGGAGAATGGCGACCTGATGGATGATGGAAATCTGTCAGACGTAGCAGTCGAGGGAGATACTCTTGCCATGGCGGCCATGGCGCTGGTGCCGAGAATGAGACGCATGGTTGCGGGCAATACGGAATCGTGTCGACAGTCGTCGTGCAGGAATCCATGTTGGATGTCCAACAACAGTCCTACCACGATGAAATGCACATACTGCTCCAGCGTGCTATTGGGATCGGAAGCCGTCCGGATCACCTCGTAGATCTGGTCCGAGATGCGCTTGTCGCTTCCGCGACGGGCCAGTCATCTGTCTGGACACATACATGGGCAGGAACTTACCGATACCCTGGATATTGTCGCGGAGGATCTTGCTGCAGGTAGGTTAGTCAATATCGCAATCCCAACACTGAAAACAGGTGCGCTGCGCCGTACCGGTGTCTCTTGATGTCCTGTGCACGGCGGTGGTGTTAGTCGCGGGTGCTTACTCGAAATTCACGGCCGGGATGGGATGGTGTCGCGATGTAACTTACACCTTTGCCTCCCCGAGACCCTTGCCGGGATCGGAAGCCATGTTATCGGAATCGGAAGCAGTGCTGTCTGTGTAAAGAGGAATAGTCGCTCTTGTTCGGGTTTCTGTGTGATGTCCAGCAGCAATTCGGTCGTGATGGTGGTCAAGGGACTGCGTGGTCTTGAATCGCGATATCCTGGATGATGAGTGCCTGCATTCTGGCGTCTGCGTCGTCGATCGCCTTGGTAGAGGGCATTATGATAACAACACTCAGGGACTTTATGTTACCGACCTAACAGATTGAGAGATAGTGTCTATTTTATGGAATTGATGCAGGCTCTACCGCAATATTGAGCAAGTTGACGCCAAGGCTTGGGTACAAGGAGTGAGTGCTGAGCTGGCAGCAAGGAGGGGACGCAGCCTGAAGCGCGAGGATATGGGGGGATCTATGCTGCATAGGCTGTGGCTAGTAGTGAGCTACACTGATGCGGCGGTGCAATTGCGCACTGTTACCAGCGGCACTACATAGGCTGGGAGATGAGGATGCAGTTGGCAGTTGTCACTGTTGCGTCTAGGTGGATGGCCGGATTGATGCATGGATCTATTGACGATGCGCCATATGTTGCCTCCGCTCCGAGCAGCAGAAGACACGACTTAGATCAAATCAGCCTGCATGAACGAACCAGCTGTCTGGACCCTCGCAGAGAGAAAGACTGCCGCAGTCCAGCTGCTTCTTGTACGCGACATGCATCTCGTCGTTGGTAGACTATAGACATATTACGAAGCCTCGTCTCACCATCTTGCATATCATTAAGAGCCAAACGGGATTGGTGCGAAAGTGCTGATTATGGTGGTGTTGATGTTGGCGATGTGGCAGAGGCCAAAGAGGCAGAGGAGGAATGTTGCAATGTTGCTGCTTCGGTCAAGTTAGTCCCCCGTAACCTCTAGTAAAACCTTACATAGACACGCTCGAGTCTCCAGACGAACGACGGACGCAATGGGTTCGACCTCGAACGGAAGAGGAGTGATCGAGGACCCGGCAGATGCAAATTCAACTGCCGCTGTCAACGCCTACACTTGCTTGTGTCAGCCCCCGACAGCCCCTGACCTCGATCAGCTATTTGGTGAGTCGCACCTATGCTGAGGTCATCACCCCCGGGTCCAAGTTGGTTACTGTAAATGGGCCCTTTGCCGGTAAGCAGCCATGTACCAGAATTATTCGTTCATGGCGGTCCCCTGGCAGGAAGGCAGATGCGCAGATACGCAGGAGTGCAAACTCGGCGTGGTATCTCGTGCCACTCTCGGCATTGACATGAAAGTCAACCATCATGATGCTCTCCTTGTCCTACACGACAATCACAGAACTCCGGCTGTGGTCGGCGATCGACTTGGGTGTTGCAAGGGAGAGCGAGAAGGGTAGATAGAGACAGGGAGAGTGGGAGACGGAGAGTGGAAAAGAGCGATACGAAGAGATGATGGAGGGAGTTCGGACTTTCAATGAAACGTCGCTAACGTCCGCGTCCTCGTCCTCGTCGTGGTCGCCGCCGGCAACCACAGAGACCCGTGGTATAAGTCGGCGGTTGAGTCTGTTTCTACACATCCACCACGTTCAAGTGCCGCGAAATGCAGGGACCTGTCCTGCTCTTCAATCGCTGCCCCGATTGCATATGTCTTCAAGTCATTCAATGCATTCACTGCGTTCAGTTGAAGCGGCTCACATCTACCGTATCTTACGAGTCTCCAGTTCCCAAGGCCGACTCAGTTCGCTGGCCATCAGGCCAGGTGAAAGGAAGTCCTTCCCTGGCTTCCATTCCTTTACTGCACCAAGTCATACTCCGCTGCTGATGAACTCCCCTAGCGGCCAAGTATCCCATGATATCAAGCCGATACACGCTGCTGATATCCCTTGGACAGCCTGCTCAACGTCCCAACGGCTCTAAAGCCACATCGACGATCAAGTCCCAGCCCGCGCCAGTCCTTCGCCGACAACCAGGCCAAGCTCGCTCACCCTGTCATATTCGCTCTCGACATCAAAGCCCTCCGAGGCACGGACTCCTCCGCCGACTACCAAATCAACCAAGCCCGACACCTTTATTTCCTGCTTCGATCCCTCCGCTCATCCAGTCTATTGCTGCCTCGTTAGGGAGCTACTCACGGCGATTCGACCTCGTCCTGGGCACACCTCTTATTGCTGATCATCGTGGCGCTCCAGTGCAGGTCGTCTGCTGACCCAAGACATAAGCATAAAGTCTCGCAGCATGCAGTAGTGCCCCTTTGACTAGCACGCCCATGCTCTGGTCATGTTCATCCTATCTCTTTAGAACCCCAGCCCCTGAATCCTGGAGGCAGGCCCAGAAGCCCGGACCTGTGAACTCCGACGGCCGGTACAGGACGCATTTGCCACACCGTCAGAGATCGGCGCAGATCAGTTCCGCCGACAAGACACAGGAGCGTGAGTTCGTTGGGGCTTGGTGGGGCGCGGGGCGAGGAGTAAGGATACAAATGTGGAGCGCGGAATCTGGGGTGTGGGCATGCTGGCGTACAGCATCCGGTTTGGACCATGGCGTCGGGAACCATGGCGTCGGATACCCGACTATGGCGTCAAAGGCCGGGAGTCGAGAGCCTGTAGTCGGAAGTGAAGACTCGGGAATACGTGCCGGCTTGGCCATATATCTATGTATCATTGTGCCTTGTGGTAGCGGTATCCAGAATAAGGACCAGGGTCACGATAGGTGGCTATTGGTCTGTATTCTGGAAGTTGCTTGATTGAAAGAAGGGATGGGTGGTGTCCCCATCCCAGAAGTAGCTATCATCCCAGTTGGGTACAAAACAGGTACAAACGGGTACCCGTTGGGCTCCAAGGTACCTTGTATCCTGGTTCGTGACCCATCCGTCATTGTGGCTAGAAAATGGGTTGAAGAGCCACATCATCCCATAGACTCATCGATATATGCATACATCTAGAGCATACCGACTCGTGAGACCCGGTTGAGAAACCATCGTCCATCACCCCATGTCCGTTGTCTGCATTTCTTTACATGATATTCGGACCCGAGGCTTGTCGAGTCGTTGCTCCGCGGGTGATTTCGTCTTCAAATATCATACGTGGCGGGTGGCCAAGGAACACTCGGGGGTGGCCGAGACTTTGCCGCGATACTCTTAATATTAGCTATGCCGTGAATGTGGTTAGCATATGCCCCATTTCTCACCCGTACGTATATAGGTAATCATAGGTTACTGTGTGGGTGTTCGCATCGCCCCTTGACCCCGCGGAACGACCCCTAATCCTAACCGACCTTGCGTATCGCCACCCGTCATAGCATATTTCAAGCATATGTAGCAACATATATCGGTACCGCGAAACCTTCCGCCGAGAGCCTTTCTACTGCCGGGACATTGTTGCGGACCGTGTCCCTGACGCAAGTCTCAACTCCCCAGTGTTGGTCTTATTCCCGGAGGATTGCCTCCTTGCAAATATCGCTCTTTCCGCGAGTGTTGTTTCCTCGTTCTTCCGGTCCGCTGTTGCTTGTTCGTCAAGATCAGGGCACAAAGAACGTCACCGGCAACGCCGTGCTTGAAGGAGTAGGCTGTGCTAAACCCCTGTAAAACGACCGATGGAGCAATGCGCTGCGCAAATATAGGTAGTATTATGAGAAGGAACAGAACATGGTTAGGCGTGGAGAGGTCCCCATAGTGGAGCGATCCTGATCCTGATCCTAGGGAAGTCGGGGGCAGCTAGGCAGAGTCGGAGATCGGGACCTAATGGGTCTGTACTTTGCTTGCCTGATTTATTACTATATGTAATGGTAAGTTATACATATACATGCTTCTAGATTTTTGTCATCTTTGTCGCCACCTACCTGCATTCGCAGGCTTGCGCGCATATATAGCGTGCATTTAATACGTAAAACGACGGCGAGCGAAAGTTCGAGATGTATTCAAGATGCCCTAGTGAAGGATGCGAGTTAGCTTGGTGATAGTCGGCGGTTCCACATAACAGAACTTTTCGATCCGTTGCGAACTTTTTCTGTCGAGAATAAGGAAAGTTCTGATCTATGATTATCTGCAATGGTGTCTAGAACTTGCCAAGTTGAAAATAGCAACACTTTGGTTCCTACTCCCTGCACATCCACTTGCTGTTCGATGGTGATATTGCCACGACTCACGACAAGTACTCGATGGACTCATTATTCATCGTGACGCCATCTGTCGCATTGATAGACCGACTTGTCAATTAAAAAGCTCGAATCTGCAATGATGTTGCGGCCATCTCTCACATCATTGCATTCCATTCGCACTCGTCCCTATCTCTTCTCTCTATTTTGTCCACCCTTTTACTCTGGAAGATATTTATTACCACAATGGTTGGCATAAAACTTGCCGCGACCTTCTTTGCGCTATGTTGGGCGCCCGGAATCCTAGCCAAGCTTGTTGCCCGACCAGAGCCCCCTATGGCCCACCGCGACGGTGCTTCGATCGAGGCCGTGGAAATGGCGAAGGCCAGAGGCCCACCTAAGAGAGTGGAAGCACCACGGAAAGAGATGATGCCCATCATCCACAGGTCACAGCGGGAGGAGCTAGTCAGGCAAAAATCTCTCAGCCCTGAGCAAGCTAGGTCTCAGGCATCCTTATCCAAGGAGAGGATAGTCACTGATAAAAAGACTATCTGGGACGCCTTTTTCGGCGAAGACGACTCGGAAAGCGAATACAAGCCGCCTCTTTACAGCACCTTCGATAGACTTCTCCAGTTGAACAGCGAAATATGTTGTCCACTTAAACCCCTGGAGAAAGCTTTTGCTCGTGGCGTGAGCGCCAGGACGATAGATGATATCTGGGCTGGCTATTGTACGAAGTGCGGCGAACTCGTGTTTCGCTACCCAGACGAGTGGCAGACCTGTTACTGCGGCGACTCGTATGGCCATGTTTGGTGCCCTCATTGTGATAAGACGGTTTGGCGCAGCCCCTCGATAATAGAGAATTGCTTTTGCCCCAGCAGGAAGAGTACAACGCCAAAGGCAGGATCTGGCGGGGCCGACACTGCCAATACGGGGAAGAATGACGGGCCGCCGACGTACCTCCAGATCAGCGCCGATGACCAGCAAAGAATCCAGGACCTCATCTCCAAACACGACGACGCCGGTCTCAAGGCCTTCCTATTCAAGCTCGGCATCGGCGGCGACAATGACAATGACAGCTCCGATGACAAAGGCATCACTCCCCTCAAGGATACGCGGAAGGAATACCAAGAGGGCGACCGCCCTTGGTCGGCTGCGGTCAAGGTTCTTATGGAGGTGGGCGAATGCTCCGGACTCATCGTTGGGAAATGGCTTGTGCTGACGGCAAAGCATTGTTCACCCCAAAAAGGCGCAGTGGTGTATCCTGACGTCTTTAACAATTTGGATGAGGATAAGAAAGCTACCGTCGTCAGCGTGGTCGATGCCGTCGCCCGGAAGGATGACGAGGGGGCAAATGACCATGACTGTTACGGCGTCATGGATGATTGGTCTCTCATGGTGGTGGACAAGCCCATCGGGCAGGACTTCCACATGTCAGTTCTCCCGTTCATCGTCTGCTTGTTTTACTACGCGGGCATATGCTGACTTTGACGCGTGTAGCAAAATATGGGACATGAGCACGCCCTTGCCTGAGGGCGAGCCACTCTACTCGAACGCAGGCTACTCAGGCAAGTGGCACGACGGCTGGCTGCCCACCAAGCAGGACGGGATTGCCATCTGGCCGGGCAAGCGAGGCTGCGACCTGTACGGGCCCTTACGCGCCAACTCTTTTACAGCACCGGGGTTGTCAGGCAGTTCGCTTCTATACAAAGACAATGCGAATGAATGGTTCTCCACGGGTGCTCTGTACGGGTCGTTATACGACGACGACGAGCACACCAAGCGACTCTGCAGTCTGTATTCGACCGGGCCGGGCCTCTATGGCGCGTGGCAGTTGCTGACTCTCCTGACGAAGGACCTCAGGACGATTAGGAACTACCAGAGCATGAAGCCCGGCAGATTTTAGATGCGCAGTCAACTTGATATAGAAAATAAACACATATATGGCCAAAAAAAAAATTGAATCGTTTGTGGATTTCATGTGAAACTTACCCCAAACAACCACAAATTGTTGAGATGACTGAACAGCCACATTTCATATGTTCGCCTCTAAAAGGCGTGCAACTTTCCCTCGGATCTTAATACCCAGCACCCTCCCCATTCCTGATGCCTCATTCCTAATAGCGACATATACGTCGCTCTCGAGGTCGGGCTCTCCTGCGATACTTGAGGCCTATGCGCGAGCGGCCGCTCCAACATCTGCAAGAGAATGAACTTTATATCCATCACCCAGGGTCTTTTTTACGCGCGAGCAGGGCAGTATCCAGACGCGGTGAACCACGCCTCAAAATAGTGCCACCACCTCCCGTGACCGTCCTCCGTGTCTCTCGACCTAGGTAGATGCCCTCGTCGAGCTCATTCCCGTGCAAATCCACGCGCGCTATTTAAACCGGGTGCAAGGTCCTGATCCCGGGCGCTGGCGCGGCCACGGTGGTGATTGCGGGTATACTGCCGAAGCGTTAGACTTTGCGGTCCGCGACGCGCAACTCCCTGGAGGGCCTAGTGACACATCATACAGTCAACGAGCTTGTCGCAACGGCCTGCGGAGGTGCCTCCGTGTGTTGCATTGGAGGCGTTTTGGGACCCAAGGGGGGAAGGGGATGGTAAATGAGAATGGTGGATGGTACATAGTTGGCGATTTCCGCGGCGGGAATAGGGGGCAAGCCAACGCCTCCGCGCGGAAGAATTCAAACCTCGATAAAGCATAAACACCCCGACGAAAAGAGTAGATATTCCAGTTGCCAAATGTACGCAGAAACTTCGAGAGAAGTCAACCAGGCATCCCACCAAATCAAGAATCCTACCAAACTCAGTCAGTCTAGCTATAGTGCAGGCGGTCCAGGCGTTCAGACGGCGTAAGGCCTGATGATTATACTACTGAGCTCGGAGTGATGAGCCTGTCTAGAACGTGAGAAATAGATTCAATGATCCCCGGGAGCGTCAGACCCGGCCGCAGACCCGACCACCCAGCCACCTGCACCTTACATACTTACAGTACTAGACAACACCTAAACAGCACGTAGATAGCACTTAGACAGCACCTGGATGGTACATAAATGGCACCTAGACAGCACCTTGGCAGCCTCGGAACCTTCCCACTCCCTCCCCCCTGAACGCCCCAACATAAAAGCCCCTGAATAGCACCGCACCCCCAGCCTCTGAGCATTGGAAGCCCCTGAGCACCGCACGCCACTGAGCCCCTGAAAGTGGCAGCCCCGACAGCTCAGCCAGCTCAGCTCAGCCCCTATCCACGAACAACCAAGACCGACTTGCCTACTTACCGGGTCTACCTACCTCCCCTACCTACTTCACTTACCTGGATTGCCTACATCGCCTACCTACATACCTCGTCACATCGCTTGCCTAACTACCTACCTACCTACCTACCTACCACATAACTACCTCAAACCAATGACGGCATCACCTTAAGCATACAAAGCGACCGCATCGTTAAAGCTTAATCCCATCAAAATGTACAAGGCATGGATAGTCAGGTATTCTACACATATGCCTGTCCACGTATATTTCAATCTATTGATAGTAAGTATTCCTATGTCTAGATTAGTCACCGCCAACCATCACGGATAACGAAGATGCATGCCTGTTATAGCGAGTATATCGTATTGAGAGTATTACATTGTACTAGACCCCGAGTTAGGCACTAACACACACTGACATACTCAAGTTGAACACTGACATGCCCAAGCTAGACACTGATACACCTATCCCGGACACTGACACATCCAAGATGTACACTGACATCTTTAAGTTGGACACTGACACACCCTTACCGTACCTATAACACACCCATTTCAGACACTAACACCCAAGTTGAACACTGACATATTCAAGGTGTGCACTGACACACCCATTTTGGACACTGACACACTCTAGTTAGACACTGACACGCCTAACTTTGGCACTGACATCCCTCAACTTGGACACAGACACCCCCATGACAGACTCTGACACAACCAAGTTGGACACTGTCACCCATGTTGGACACTGATAGACCCATTCCGGACACTCGAACACCCAAGGTGGGGTACTGGCATACTCAAATTGGATACTGACATACCCAAGCTGGACACTGACACATTCTCGATGGACACTAACACGCCCAAGTTATATACCAACAGACCCATATCAGACGCTGACACACCTATATTGGATACCTGCGCACGAACGACGCTTACTCCCAAGACGAGACTGGCGAGGTGAGAACCACTCATGGTGTATACTGTGTAGCTACTAGCTGTGAACCGGCCTTCTGAGTCTGCTGCGTGCGTGCTCGGACCGGATAACTGTCGGCGAGTATGTATCTACATATTCGACGTCTCATCTTGCAAGTCTTCCTCTTTCTCCGTGCCATCCGTCCACTGTTGAATCTCGTATTTCTATTCGTAGCGTATGTTCCATTTCGAAAGCAACTGTTCATCCATATGCCTCCAGTCATGCGTCTAGCCATAAGTTCACTCGTCGACTTCACTCCCGAATTCACTCCTGACCTTCCTCGTACAGGTCGCTGTACTCATCCCGCAGTGCTATCTGCCTCTCCAAACACTCCTTCTGACGTTCTAAGAGGGCCTTGCGGGGCTGGTATTCTCCCTGCAGCTTTTCGCGCAGCGCCTTGTTCTGCTGCAGTTTGTTCCCGATTCCTATCAGCCGTGATGCCTCCGTTGTCCCCTGTTGGATGGCCGAGTCAAGATCTAGTTCGTACTTCTCTCGCAGTTGGCCATGGAAGCTGTCGATGTCCGAGTCCAACTGTGCATCTCCCACCTTCTCGCTTGTCAGGTTGAACTGGTTATACTTGGCTATCATTTGCTCGAGGCGTTCGCCCTGTGTCCCGAGTCGCTTCACTTCTTCCTGAGAGTTAGTAAGATCGTTCTCGAGACCCTCCATGTCGTTTTATAGCTTCGTCGTCTCGGTACCATCGTCAGCTTTTAGCTCCACAAGGCACTGGTTGCACCAATCCAGGTGGATCTTGGTGACCCTGGCAGCAGCCGGCTCGTTTTTCCAGAAGTCAAAGTGTGGAGCAAAGCGATTGACTGTGCTTCTGTCTTGCTCTGGCTGCTGAGCCTCGATGCGTTGAGAGTTTTGGAACTCTGTTGTTGCCCCGCCGCCGCCTTCCAGTCGCGATGCCCAGCCCAGCCATAGACTCTCGGCCGTCTCGATAATGGCCGTGGGCGGCTCCTCGCCGCGGAGCAGACAGTCGGCATTGAAGATTGCCCACACACCACAGCTGTAGTAATCCGTCTGACGGACACAGGGCTGCAGGCGAAAGACCACTTTGGCGGTATCGAGACCAAAGTCTCGACTGATAACAATACGCAGACGTCTCTGCACTTATGAGCTGGCCGGGCGGTTGTCATTGCAACTCTCACGGGGGTCCCAGAGCAGGAACTGGTTGGGCTGGGCCTGGAGGTCGACCAGCGCAACAGTCCAATGGTGCCCAATGCAAGGCATGAACACAAGCCGTCGCGGTAGGTTCTGGGCGTGGTTGATCTTGTTGATGTTGTTGATCTTGTTGCTGTTCAACGCAGTTGAAGGGATGCCGGAGTCCATAAGATGAATGGGACCATGGCGGTTGACCAGCTGGGTAGCCTGACTGCTGGTGACTCGCTTCCAGGTAGGATGGAGCAGACGCATGCACGCCTCGACGTATCTCGAATAGGGCCACGCACTTGTGATCCGTAGGTGCCTTACAATTTCCGGCTTTAAAAGTTTAATAGGAACTGCGACCGCTGAGCCAAGCACCGAATGTTCGTCACAAAGGACCGGACTCTCGCTGCCGCCATACCCATGGGCTGATGGCGCCAGGGACGACAAGAGACTTTCGTGGTCGTCATCCCGGCCACGGCGGGAGACGGAAGACTCGGGTGACGGCGTGTCCGAGAAAGTCACTGGGAAAGCCGGTTCTTTCCCACCGGAGAGCAACGACGTGAGGCCCGATTTGCGGAGTGTTGAGGTACCGTTGTCTCGACTGAGTTCCTCTAATTCGTCGTCTGGGAATTCCACTGGTCCCAGCCACTTGAGTGTTCTTTGGCGACCAGGCGACATGTGGTCGAGACCGTCATCGTCGCAGATCGTAACTCCTGATGTGCGCGCCTTCTTCGTCTCATGCGTGTACTCGTCGTCGTCACTACTGTTTGGAGCATCCGAAGAACGGCGCTTCTTGCTGTCCACGAGATGACCAGTAAATAGACGGGGTAAAAGGTTGCGGGTATTAGATCTATCCTTATCGGGCTCTTTTCCCTGACCGTCATGATCGTCGTCGGCTGCCTTGTCGAGCTGGTCTTGGTGGTGGGTTGGTGGTGGGCAATGTCGTGGGGGGTTGGGAGCTCGAGTGGCCTCTGGATTGGGCTTGTCGGAATATCTCGCGAAAACTCATCGTCCGGCGGAGCGGGGAGGATTGAGACGCTATTCTTCTAATTCCTGATAACGGATACGAGCGCTTTTACGTATCGCAGAGTGCCGGGGTGTTTGGGTGCTGGGATTCTGGCTGATTGGCAGCCGTGGAGGTGTTGGAACTAGACGACAACGATTTAAAGAAGAAATGAGGAAGAGGGGAAAAAGTTCAGGCGGGGCGGGACGAGACGTAGTGCTATACTTGTAACTATTGGTAGCGAGTGCCGTTGTAGAAATGATCACGTACATAAAGTTGAGGGAAGGTGCCAGCAAGGGCAGTGTCATATGGTACCGCTATCGCAGTTGCCGCCTTTGAGAGTTATATAATCACGTCTACGTGCATATAACCTGGCGTCGCGACGAAGGTACACTAGATGCATCAAGATAATGTAACAGCGGTGGTGCAAGCAAAGTCAGTATGAATGTTGGTATTTAGAGTGAGGCGTTGATCAACTTCACGATATCCTATCGCCCCTTAGGAGTCAGGGGGCAGGAGTTGTTAAGTGGCACGCAAGCCACTGTGGCGTCAGGGAGGTGGCAGTGCACCGAACGAGCCAGGCATTTTGGGGCCACCTGAGGTAGCCACTAACAAAGACTTTGCAACTACATAACCACCAAGATCAGCACTGGATACACGAATTTCAACCATATGAACTATCTACGCACTGTTGACAGGAGGCAGGAGCTAGAGTCGGAGTCGACACACTACCGATTTTCATACCACGGCTCCGTTGCTCACAAGTCCAACTCCAACGCTGACGCCAAACCCAAGGCCACCGCCCAGGAGAGGTCAGGTAGTTGTGAGCTGCAAGTCGAAATATCCATCTGCCCACACAACAGCCATCCCACATCCACAACCCAAGGTGGCGGATGCGGACACCTCCTCCAACATGCTGACTCGGGCCCAGACCAAGCGGTCGGGACATGGCATGGTGGCCACGATGAGCGCAAAGCCAGAGAGAGCCGGACTCATTCGCTCGACTTTTGACCGAAGAAAGCAGCGCATGGACGAGGCTCAGATATCCCCCATCCAGCACTCTGCTATCCCCAGCACGATCAAGACTCATCGCCTGGACTTGCCCGCGTGTCTCGAGTTGGATAGACCATGCCCGCAAGCAGCGCCGGGACGGCAGGCCAAGACACCCGGTAGTGCATCACGGCCATCCATACCGGACAAAGGAAAGCGTTCCTTCGGAAGCATAAGCGAGAAAATTATTGAACGAAGTAGGAAATATACCAACCAGTGATTAGGGCTACCATATCCTCGATCGAGCTCGGCACACTTCCCGGGCTCGCGAACAGCAGGCAGCCAGGTGTTTGAAGAGTGAGGCCTAAAATCTAAGACCAAGCCCAAACGCGTGGCAGTTGCTTCCTTCCGGGAGCCCCATGCAGTAAGTCGTCGCCCCTTTGGGCATTGCGTTTGGGTTGACGACTACGGTACAAGCGACTTACGCGCCCGACCGACCGACTATGCTCTGACGGGGCATGCTGCCCAAGTACCGAGGCTACCTCGACTTGCGGTCATTCCAGCCGAAGCAAGTGGACGGCACGGCACGATGTCACCCCACGAGGTCTGTCCGTCCAAACGCCCGTCAAGGCTCTTTATTACTGACTTATCACCTGTCCCATATCTCCTTTCCCCTATCCCGACCTCCGTGCCCCCCTACCTCTACCCCTAACTCGTCGATGCCACAATGAGCAAAGGTTAAGTAAAAGCAAAAGCAAGCTCGACTCTGACAAGTCTTAGGGAATAAACGATAGACTTATGTTTCGTTGTGTTATAAGTCTATCGCTACCAGTCCGCAGGAAAAGCTCCCTGTCCCATGCCAAGTGCATCGAGAGCCTGATCGGCAGCTTGCATTACTATGCTTCATCTTCACCAAGCTTCATCATCCCTACCACGATCCATCCATTTACCAGAATCCACAATAGCGCAAGGTATACAGCTAACCATCAAGCAAGCGCTTAAGCTCCCCTCTCAGCCGTCGCACCCCAGCAACCGGACCATCATCGTCATCATCCAGCCCCCGCGCTCCGCCCGCGCAAGCCGACCCCTACTCGCAGCCAAAATCTCCCGCGCACGCGTAATGGCCCTCTCCAACATATGCCCCCGTATAGAATCTTGTATATCCCTAGCGATCCCCGCGAGATGCGCCGGGTGTAGATTCGTCGGATCAAACGGTATCGCGTCTAGGTCGCCGTAGTCGCTGTTACCGACTCCGACTCCGTACATGGCCCCTAGCCCCAGCAACAGCTCGTCTCGTCGTCCGCTGAGTGAGTAGCCTAGTCGCGTATCCTCACGGTGTCTTTTTCGGTCGCGTTTTAGCTGGTGTAGTGCTTCCCGATCGGTTCTCACGCGGGCTTCCAGTAGGGCCTTGGTTGGGTTGGGGCTGGGGACGTTTGGTGGTTGTGTAGCGAGGTGCGAGTCGATTCGATCTACGTGGCCCTTGAGGTCGCGCTTGATATTGTCTTGGACGTCCTGAGCTGTTTCGGCGGGGTGGAGCTCCTCTGCGAAACCGAGCGGCAGGACTCGGGCATGCTGGCGTCGGAGCATGCGTCTCGGCCCTCCTGCTGGGCGGGGAACGAAGGGGCGTCCGAGGGGCCCACGTCCAACGGGAAAGCCGTCCATGAGTGAGTACGAGATGGGCGATATCAGAGACAGTGGAGATACCGCAAGCAGTCGGGATCGGACAAGGCAGTCCGAAAGGCAGGTTGGTTGAAGCGCGAACTGATTTCTCGCAGGATGTCGATGTCGTGCTTCCGCAGGCTCGTTCTTCCGCGGGGGCTGCCACTACTTCAACACCCGATAAAGGCAGAGGTAAGTTGCGACTTCCTCGGATCACCATGACGTGATAGTACCAGTACTTAAAGAATCTGGTAAAGTACTGGTTAATCTATCGTACCTGCGCAATATCGAGCCTGCCTCGTTGATCTTTGCTGAAGCGTGCCCCATGAGATTGGATTTGGACTTGGGTGGTATTCGATTGAAAGGGGCGCCAGCCTGTATCACCGACACACAAGGCCGCACGTTGCTCCGATACGATAGCGGAGCCAGAGAAAGGCGAAGATGTGCCGACGACCTATAGGCAGTCGGGGCCTGTAGCGACTACACTTCTATTGACCGGTCACTTGACCTCGCTCGGCCTACATGTCCCAAAGCGGACAAGGTGGCAAGCAATTCGTCCGAGTTCAACTCAGGCTATGTCATGCCATGTTCGGGGGACGCTTGCGGCTGCTGCGCCGGCCATCTCTGCATCCACGTTGCTGGTACGGCCGCGGCTTTACAGCTTCGACATCAAGCCTCGAGTGCGGTGAAATAACTGTGGCGGCGTCTTCATACCGACAACACGCATGGGCGCTACGCTCAACTCAACTCAACTCAACTCGATGAACATTTAGCGCCCATATCGAAAGACTTTTTACCTACCCAGTCCCGTATTCATCCTCCAGGCCATTATCATGTACTCATACAGGTTACTGCTTGCCCAGTGTCAATGTTCGACCCAACCACGCCCGCGACTTCTTGACGGGGTGTAGCCAAAAAGCAACGAACACCTAGGTCACCGACCAAGTCCCGACATCCTTGCGCCATGTTCCATGTCGACGCTAGATCCACGAGGATGCACTGGCGAACGCCAGTAATCGTGCGTAGCGACCATCTCTAAATCCAAAATGTGATGGCTCCCATGTCGGCGCACAGCCCAACTCATCTCAGCCCATCCCATCCCAACTCACCGCGGCCGTCATTGCGAACGCGGCGACTGAGCGAACCGCCTAGATGTATGAGATAGAGACCACCGCTATGCATCATTTTCCTCAGGACCTCCCCTACTGCATCTTCCTCCTCCGCGGTACAGCTACGATGGACACGACAGCCTGCCGTACTCGGCGTATCCATCCTGCTCATCGTACCCGGCCCTTTAGGGGATAGATGAGCTTCGTCTTGAGCTATTGTCAGGAAGAAGCGCCGCAATTCCGATGTGCTTGTCGTTGCTGTCGTTGGAGCTCATTGATCGCCTCTAATACCGCGCTGCTGCTCTGAGATCGAAGTATTGGTCAGTCGTTGCGAGCGATGGATACCTTCAAAGGGGTATCTTTTGAGGGAAAGTTATGTCGGGACTCACGAAGAAAAGCCAGGTCGACTGCTACCACTCCCACTCTCGCTCTGTGTACTACATGCGTGTCATAGCACTATGAGGCCACAATCATCATGAAGAGGCTCCATATCGCCTCATCCACCCGGTCCATTGCATAACGGTATATTGCGTCCATAGCCCCATCCTCTTCGACGAGCGAGCAGCTTGCTGTGGCCCCTGGTAACAGCAAGCCTGACAACAAAGAGCCTATCGCCCGTCCTGTGAACAACGCTTTACAACATTGGTAACGCGAACGCTCGCTATTCGCGCCGCCAGACTCCGCAGTCCCAGATAACTGATGCTTCCAATCAGTTGTCCCAATCTTCCCAGCCATTTCAGTCGACCCAGTCGTCGCGATCATCTCAGCCATTTTAAGCTTCGTGTTGTAATACGTTTATTGGCGCAGCCGAGAGAGCGTATCAATTCCGTGACCAATCTTTCACTGCTATTGTCACGTTAGATTCAGCTGGTTCGTATCGGCATATCTGTTATGGCGATGCCATCACGCTGGATCAGCACCCACATTGCCGTCCCGGGCCCAATTCAACGGAGCGGCGCGGCGAACCCAGTGTCGTAGATGGGGGAATTACCCAAGCGGAAGCCGAGGCCAACAGCCGTCTCGAGACCATGTTACTTCAACTGAGAAAGAAGTTACATGGAAGGGTCGTCGCCCTCAACCATTTGCTTCTATGTCACTACCCAAGAAGTTCCAACGATGTAGATGTCGCAAGAGCCGATAGGCAGCTCTCAATCCGCGCGTTCTGTCTCCTCTCTTCAAGAAAATCAACCCTTGCACCGCACCAGCGTCGTACCAGGCCACATGTTGGAGGTCGTATCTCATCATCCAAGAGAGCTTCTAATACCATCAGCCATAGTTGGTGCTATGATATTACTTGGAGAGATGCGGAAGTCCCTGCGGTAGATGCTCACCACGCAGCGCGCCCGCCAGCTCCAAGATACCCCTGAGCAAGAGTTGATAGGACTACCACTACACAGACGCCAAAATCGAATGACAACCGACCGACCTTGACCCGTTTGAGATACAGATGGCAAGGCCATTTGCCCGCTTCACATGGATGGCGACGATCTTCATCCTCGGGAGAAACGCTAGCGCTTCGAGGAAGAGGCAGTCGATCGAGACGCGGAAGAACTCCAGACCGCCCTACTCCCAGACATCGGAGTATTTTTCAGAAGGGCGACACATTGTCCCGATATATATCAACTACAATACGTCTCCAACTCGCCTGCCTGGTTGGAGATCGCGTTACCGAGAATATCGGACTATGGAAGCCGAGGGCCGCACTTACCACGCAGCTCTCGCCCAAATGAACAGGAGCAAAAATGGTTCACCTCACCTAGCAAGGGCGACTTCAAAGGCCAGTTCATCCACACGGATTGCGTCAAACTTCAAGTTTGAGACTCCACCAGGATGGCCCCCTGAGACCCCGTGACTACGCGACGACTACGTGCAAATCCATCTCGAATGCGGCGCCGCCCCCTTATCTGCTGCTTCACACGCCGTTAATGCCCAACCAAGTGCGCATTGCTTGCTGAACGTTACACTAATAGCGAAATCCAGATTGGACGATACCTTCGACCCTATTGGAGTCGTGTTTCCAGGACGAGACGCTCATAGTGTCAAGCGCATAGCTACTTTACCCCTAGTTGTACTCGGGTAGATAGTTGAGGTGGCTGACTTTGCGCGTGGGCATTAAATGATGGGGTATCGTTGCTTTAGCATAGTCTGTCAACGAAGCTGCTGGTATGCAAACAAGTGGACACGCCAGCCCTTAGGGTGCGTGGCCCTCTCGCCATTGGTCTGAGATGGAACAGTCCTAGAGTACAGCAACTTCAGTCCTGGAGCGATAAGTGAACTGTAGAGTTTAGCTCGTAACATTATTATTAGGGTCTCATTTGGCTCAACTACTTCTTTTAGGGTCTAGCCCAAGCTCTATCCCAACTTGTTCGGCTGGACTCTGCGAATGGGGAACACCAACCAAGCTGCTGAGCTGCTAGTATTCGGAAAAGTGTACAAACCCCGAAGTGCGTGGCCATTTCGTCTCTCTATTGCTTCGGCTGTTCCAAGGATTCGAGCAAGCTCCAACAAGACGAGCTTCAACCTCCGTCTGCACCAAAAGCCTTCCGCTCACCAGTCCCAGCCGCCGAGCAGGCTGCCTTTCCACCGTCTCAGTCATCATAGGCTTCTGTTGAATGGCACGCAAGCTACCATGCCCCCAGGGAGGTGGCAGTGCACTGAGCAGGCGCCATTACATAGGGCTTTTGGGCCAACTGGACACAACAATAGGCCTTCATAACAACACAATCAGCATCATCTCACCAGCCCCGGCCACCAAGCAGGCCTGACGAGCAAGGCCTCCGAACAAAGAACACCACAAGGGGGCAGAAAGATAGCATACTCCTTACCCGTCCGTCCTACCGCTCTCGTCCTAGAGCTTCCTGTCACGAAGCAGTGCTGGCATGTCCACGAATATCCAGGTATAATATACAAGAAGTTGACAATGACGCATTTTCTCTAGAGAGGTCCGGCCGGACCTTAGGGGTGCTATAACTTCGACCGGTTGCTGCTGCTGCTGCGCATCTTCGTGTTCGAGTCGTCGTACAATACATTATACCGAGCTGGCCGTGATGTCGGCGGCGGGCTCGGCAGCCGTCAGCAGGAGGCCCGGTATAAATGGGGAGACCACGACAACGTTTGACGTCTCGCGCACTATCGACATCGCGTTTCCTGACGACTCCCGCATGTGATCGTCCCGAAGCCTCAAAGCAAGGGGCTCGGGGGTCCGCGTCAGCGGGCGAGCACTACGCCCTCACAGCCGCGAACCTGCAAACCAAAAACGGGTTCAAGGCTAGGGCTGGCGATCAAGGGTGCGTGCAGGACGAACGCTGCGTAAGGCGGGTGGAGCAACTACGTGGCGTTTTAGTTATAAAGTGTTTTGATGCGGAAGACCGGCCACCTTCTTCCGGCCCATCGAATATAGTTAGCAGCAAGGGGGTTGCATTGAGGTCTGGCGTTGCCACATCTATACGAACAACGTTTTCTAAGCTTAATGTGTTTGCGGGGCTTCGGAGTAGCTGATGACTGTGCGGTTCTGCTGGTTCTCTTCTGAGCTGCTTGCGTTCGGACAAATGGCCGAGCCCCGGGGTGTGTTGCTGTCTCGTCTTTCTACTTGTTCAGCTTTACATCCATTCGAGTCTGTAGACGATAAACAGTTGAATGTAGTTTGCTAGGCTAGGCATAATGCTTGACAGGGTGTTCACTTTGTGCGATTTCGACGTTGGACTATGACATTGACGTGAAATTCGAAGTACGAAATCATAGCTAAGACTGATTTGCTTTGACAAGCTTTCGAGAAGATGTGAAGAAGCGAGCGACGTATACGAGGAAGAGTAAGACCGCCTTCTAGACAACAAATGAGGTATGCTCTTCCAGCTACGATGGGCCACCCTTGTCGAAGGAAGCCCCCCTCCTGAGCTTTAAAAACGCAGGTGTATCGGGCTGATCCATGGCCTCTATGAGTGCTGCCACAGCTGGTTGCATTCCTTGAGCCACTGCCATGTCAATCCACTCGGCCATAGGCATCCTCCTGAAGGTGGCAGGCCGATCTCGTCCAGTGCTACTAGCATTTCCGCCGCTTTCTTGTCTCCCTTCGGACTGTTCGTCAGCAAAAGACCTAGGCAAGCCCAGCTCCAACAGCTTCTCCATCTTCTCCAACGGTACCACAACGTCGCCCACCTCATGCACGTAGGATACCAACTCGTCTTCCACCTCGGGACGCCGCAACACGCATTGCGAGATCTGCTCGCAGACGCTTCGCACGTAGACGAGATCGAGCGCGCCGCTCACGTGCCTGACCTCAGGCACGGCTCTCATGGTGCATGCGTACGACACGAGCTGGTTCAGCCAGTCGAAGCGCGCGCGCTCCTCGTGCGCGTCTGCGTCCTGTCGCATGATTGTGCTGGGCCGGTGGATGTACACGCGCAGCCCTGCTGCCGCACTCGCGCGCTCGAGCAGCCTCTCTGCCACCCATTTGCTCGCCGTGTAGCCGCTGTGCGCCAGCACGGCCTCGCCGTGGGCCGTGGGAGGCGTCCCTGGCGCCCGCGCGGGGAGCAGCTCCTCCATGTCCGGGCCGCTGCCGTCGGCGGCAGAGAACAGGCCCACGCCCACGGACGACACGAAGTGCAGAGGGACCCCGCGACGGGCGGCGCAGATGCGTACTAGCTCCGTCGTCGACCCGACGTTGGCTGCGCGCAGTGCTGCGTAGGGCTTGATATGCGAGGTGTCCGCGCCCGCGTGGATGACCACATCGGCGTCCGCGAAGACGGCCGCGCAGTCTGCGGTAGAGAGGCCCAGACGCGGTTGTGTGAGGTCACCAGCTAGGAACGTGGTGCGCCCCGTGGACGCGGCGCCGCTGATGTCGGGCGGAACCCCGGCAAGGAAGGTGCCCAAGTCTGTGGTCTGTAGCTGGCGTACGGCGATGTTGATTATTCTCGTGGTCGGAGGGGTCGTCTGTAGGAGATAGCTGAGCAGGTTGCGACCTAAGAGTCCTGTTACACCGCTCAGGATGAACCGTTTCGGTGGAAAGCCTGCCGCCTCGGTGTATGCGGGATGAGACCGCAGGAGTGCCGAGAAATGGTCTGGAACGGTGGGTGGGAGTGTCTCAGCATCCCAGTTGACCAGGACCTGTAACTCAGCAGCTTTCATTGACGTATTGGATCGATGATCGGAGTTGTAGCTGAGAGCTGTGCGACCGTCGGCAGGGGGTTGGAAGGGTTGTTCGTCCGTTTGGCTACTGATATGCTCTTGGGGCATTTGGGGTACCATCTTGGGTGGCATACTCTCGATGGCATGATGAACGAGGCTCATCACAGTCTCATTGCTCATGATGCGGAGCACAGGTATGCTTATTGACATGGACTTCAGGAACCAGTTCCGTATGTCGACTGATATGAGCGAATCAATCCCGAGTTCGCCTTTGTGCATCTGCATCAGTTCATCATCGCTGATCGACTTCATCTGCAGCTCATAGCGTAGTTGGGCTGCCAAGGCCTCCTTGACTACGGCTTCGAGCTCTCCGCGGGTTTTGCTCGAGCGTAAACGGGTCTGCAGCGCCGATACCTGCGGTCGTCCCCTGTTTCCATCTCGGTCACCGCCGCCTTTTGGTGTAGAGCCAAAGTCGTCGACGGCCTCGCCATGCGACTTGATCAAATGCGCAAACTTTGGGTCTGTGAACCAGATTGGCCGGTCGACCGCGTCGTGCGCCACGCTCAGGAGTCCTGTTGTGAGCTCGGTCTCGCTGCCGGTGTAGCTTGCGAAGACACCTTCAGCAACAATTTGGTGGAAATCCTCTTCGGACAGGTGCATCAAGCCGCCTCTCGCGACGGTAAGGTCTAGTTTCCGCTTGTCTGTCCGATGCAGATAGCCCGCTACGATGATAGCACCGACATTCAGGGCCACGCCGGGCAGATTGCGTTGCCTCCGGCTTGCAGCTAGGGCACATTGGAAGGCGTTTGCTGCCGCGTAATTGGCCTGGCCGGGGTTTCCTATGGTGCAATTGATGGAGGAAAGCAATATGAAAAATTCCAATGGTGTTTCGGGGGAAGAGAAGATGCGATCCAGGTTCAAGCTGCCCGTTACTTTAGGCCCGAGCACTTCCGTAAACTGTGAGTAAGACATGTTACCCATCATGGTGTCGCGTAATATCATTGCTCCGTTGAACAAGCCGGCAATAGGGGGGTGGTTGTCGCAAATCTGGGCATGCACAGCCACCAGAGCTGCGTGAGTGGTAGCATCGCTTCGGGAAGGAGACGTCAGTACCAGTAGTGATAAATTGATGCTTGGGTGGAATGGCTCTCTTACCATGGCATGATCGTGACACTAACCCCATTGCGACCATGGGCCTCTATCCATGAAGCTTCAATTGCTGGGCTCCTGCTACTGATCACAATATGTCGTACTCCTACCCTAATCATCCAATCGCAAAGAGACACCCCAAGGGTACCTGAGAGACGTACTACCCAGTAGGTTCGGTCTGATTTGAAAAGAGGCTGACTGGCGTCTAATCTCAACACACGAGCTGGGACCTCAGGTGAAGCTGTGAAGTCAATGATGAAAGGCTTGCCATCGCTATGGCTGCCAGTGACATAATTCCCAGTTGATGCTCCTGTCATCTCTGGAGCCAAACGTCCGAGTTGAATCATCTCAAGCTCATCGTCAGCGGTACATTCGAGGTCTTCGGCGTTGTCAACAGCCTCTAACAGGATGTCCATTGCGGTGGCATCTACCACTGGAGCAGTATCATCGCCCGTCCACGCATAGAGGCTTTCGGCTGTCTTTATTTGACACCATTCTGGAAGGCTTTCGATGATCATGTCCTGGGTTTTGACTTGGTCAATGCCTGTAGCGAAGCCAGCAAAACAGGAGATGCCCTTCCGGAACGGCAGCGATTGGCGAAGCTCGTCTCGACTTAGAAATTGCCGAAGAGTAACATCCACCGCATTGGGTACTGCCGCTGTACCTTGGGACGAGTGGATGTTCGCGGAACATATCACGTTTACCCCTTTTCTTGCCGCCTGGGTGCGAATGGCCTTGATGACTCTGGGTAAAGCATCATGGACTAAGATGGTTTGGCCTGGGAGTAGCAGACGGGTAACTTCTAAAGCAACAAGCCACGCAGCCAAAGCCGAAAGAAGTGATATATCGCCCTTGGAATGAGCTGGAACCGGGACCATGTCTGCGGCGCGGATGTTCACGATGGATGCCATGAAGGGTACAAGCGCAAGCTGTTGAGTCTCCATTCGGTTCATGGTACCGAGTGCAAGAAACCTGTGACCAAGGGGTGTCTTGATTGCAGGGGGTATCGCGCGTGAGACCTTGAACTCTGAAAGATGCTCCGTAGCAGTAATTAAGCCTCTGGTCGAGTCGTAGTCTGTCGGGAGGAGCTTTGTGATAGCAATTGCACCAGTACGGTCACGTCACACTGTATGGAAACGGGTACATTTGCCGGGTTGACATTCTGGAAAATGGACCGTCGCCCCGAGTCGTATCGAGCGTTCACATCGCTGAGGGGCAGCAGCCGAGGCACTCGATGGTGTCCATCTGCGCTGATGACAATCTCGGGCTCAACTGTCCACAGCATCTTCTCCTCTGATGTCTCTTGGGCTGACGTTGAACATAGCACAAAGCGCATGAACGTCTCGGCAATGACCAGCGGTGTCGTCCGGTCGAAGGGACTCTCGAGGTCTAAGTTCTGTATGAACAAAGACGCAGTCTCCTGGACAGCGGCTCGGCCAAACCCTACTACTAGATTACTGTAAGGGCTCCGTGCCAAACGGCCGCTGGTCACCCAAAGAATGGTCTTGCCGGTCTGAAGCATCCGTCGGAAGGATAAGAAACTTTCCTCGTCGATGTCTTCCAGGACAGGCTTGTCAAGATCGGAAATATTCAGGACAGGCGGCGGATGCGCTTGATTGAATAGGTTCCCATCGTAGTCCACTTCGCCTAGGGATTGGTACGTGTATACGTGGATGCCCAGTTGTTGAAAGGTGCTCTGCAGCTCTTTAACAGGAGGCTTGGTGAGATCTGTGCGACCACCTATTAGGACCACATCCTTGGTGTGATGGGCTCGCGGAATGTCCAACGTCAGTGGCGCGCGGAACATGCGAATCTGGTCATTTACAGCCTGCGACGCAAAGAGGCAAACCCCAAGGGTATCTTCCCATGATACTGGGGATCTCGTGTCGATGCCCGAGAAGCCCGCCTCGAGTAACAATTGGTGCCATTGCGCGGCCGATACGGCTGGCGAAAGCGTACGCCCTTCGTCGCCGCGACCTAGCCACCATCCTGATAGCGGACCAAAGATAAAGCTCAACAAAGGGCTATCCATGCTGCCTTCTCCAACGATGAGGAACCCACCAGGCTTGAGAAGCGTGCGCACATGTGCAAGTGTACTTTTCAGTGAGCCTGTGGCATGCAAGACGAAAGATGCTACGACAACGTCGTATGCTCCGGCGGGGATCCCCTGGGAGCACGGGTCCGTCTCAAGGTCAAGTGTCTTGAAAACGATTCGGTCTTTGAAAGATGACAGAGCAGCTGATGCGGTGCCAAAGAAGCCAGCCGACACGTCGGTGAATGTGTAGCTCCGAAAGCTGCTCCCGATGCTCCGCAATATCGGTTTTGTTGTGCCTCCGGTACCAGCACCTGGAGACATGTCAGAAAAGTTCCTACCGGGGAAAGTCCCATTCCTGCGTAACAGTCTAAAATGGGTTGGAGTGAAGCCTTTCCTCGACCCCCTTTGGTATGGGTCCGCCAGGTAAAGGGATGAGTGGGCGGGAGTGGAGGAGAGGGATATGACCTACCGACTTCAATAATGTCCAGGTGTGGATTCCGGTCTGCAAGCTGCTTCACTATCCTCGTTTGCCAGCGCGCCGACGGAGCCGTCGCAAAACCCTCTTCGTAGAACCTATCGAGGACCCCGGATTCGCGAAACTGTTCGAGCATGGTAGTTTCCCCCCGAACAATACGAGGTATGCTTTCCCCAACCAGAGTCATGACCCTAACATCGGGAAGCATGGGGATCACATTCGTTGCTTGCTTGATGTCTGAAAGACTGTCCTCCGACCGCCATTCCGGTCCAAGCGACGAGATTAGATGTTGCGCATACTGCAGAAAGTATGACATTGGGTCATTATTGGTACTGGAGCGAAGCGGTGAGTCTACGAGAACGTATGATTCATACTCGCGCAAATAGTAGACAGCTAAACGCTTAAGGGCATCACGCGTAGCTATAGCGCTGGAACTCTCGATGCTGCCAGCGTCGGCAGCAGCGGCGGCGGTACCGTCATACGCCATGTCCACCAGCTGCATCTTCGTAAAAACGCTGCGGTCGCTGTGTTGGTCATCGGCACCGAGAGGCACGATTTGGATGTCCTGTATCTGGATCGCTGCGTGGGCTGAAGGGCTGCTGAAGATGGTAATGTCGCCCACAAACCCTCCCCGGCCTGACGACGTCGACAGGCTCTGGTGGGAGCGTGTGACCGTCGCTTCGACGTCCATGCTATGATCCCGTGGGACATGCCTTGGAACATCCTGCGCATCATCAGGAAGTTTCAAACGCCTGAAGGCGTTCCCACACTGAACAGGATTCACTCGGATGTGGCCGAGGCGCAGAGGCAGATGCAAAGAACGCATTTGAGTGTCGTTTGGAAAGCTGTAGGCGAGAAGTAAGGACTGAAATGCGGCATCCAGACCGGCTGGGTTAGTCAGCAACGAAGTCTCGTCGTCGGACTCCCTGACGGTGACTGATCCAGTTGCTCTTCCATGTTTCCGACTGAGGGACTTCATTGACCGGTATCGGCCCTGGTAGTTGTAGCCCAAGCTGACCAGCGACATATAGAAGAGTTCTGGGTTGACTTCAGTCATGTGAGGGATTGCAGCTGGCCGAGCCGGCAGCAGCGTCTGGTCTGGCGCCCCTATACCCAGGAGCACCTCAAGCTCTGCGCTGGCTACCAGCGTCAGTGTGTCATCACTGCGCCCCAGCGCTGCCGAAAACGTGAAATGAGAGCGTACCCGAGTGCCCGCGTTGGTGACTGCGATGTCGGCTAGCTCGATGAGTACCTCCACGCCATCATTGTTGTCAGAATTTAGAACCACAGCCTGGTGGATGACCAGGTCATGAATCTCGACGAGTTGAAGTTGCAGCTTGACTTCCTTGCGTGATGACACAGTCACAGAGGCCGCGGTCGCGGCCGCATCGGGGAGTGGCCGTGGAGACGTACCCAGCAGCTGGGACAAGGGTTTGGCCATCAATACAATGCTCAGTCATCCACGATGATTCGTCGTGGCTATCATCACTGTAGCTTTGGGTTGCGCGTAAGAGATTACGCCAGCGCAAATGATGAGGACTGCTGTCGGGGGTGAAATGCCCCAGTAGTGGGTGGAAGGAGTCCGGACGGACACGCAGCCGGCGCGAGGCCCGAGATTCGGCCCAATAGCGTGTCGAATGATTCCATTGATAGGATGGGAGGCCTTTTAATAGTCTGAAACAATGGTATTGTCTGTCTTCGTCGTTCGTAATCGTCATGGCTTGTTCAAACCGGTCCAGATTAAACGCCCGAGAGTGATGTTTGTAGAAACGCTGCCATAGAAATCCGAGGCTGCTGGAGAGCGCTTCTACAGAACCTATACCACGTCTCAGAGTTCCATGGTAAGGGATTGTTGTCTCCAGTGATTCCAGGATAGTTTGAGATATAGGACCCTGGAGTGCTGGGTGAGGGCCAACCTCGAGTATGACGCTGGGGATAGCCCCGTCGCCCACTGTTAGGCTCGTCCGGAGCGCGTGAGAAAGCAAGACAGGTTGCTTCATGTTGTCAGCCCAGTATGTGACACTTAGACCACTATCCCCGTCTACCGGTATGTCGATGAGACGGTTGTAGACTGTCGAGTACCACTTGCAGTTCGTATGCGGCCGATGCTTTTCCGTCTGTACACCATACCTTCGGAGTGACTCGATGTACGGGGCACAGCAACGATCCATGTAGCGTGAATGGTATGCCGTATCAACTCGCAGTCGGCGGAAGCCTGTGTTCTCGTCCCGGAGAAGCTCCTCAAGCTCCGCAATTGCATCGACATCGCCGGAGATAGTGACACTCGACGAAGAGTTAATCGCTGCGACTTCTATTCGTCCGCGATACACCTCATCTTGACAGAGCTCCATCGCATCTTCCATTGATGTCTGCACGGCGACCATTGCACCACGGATGTTCTCACCATTCGGACTCGCTGCCCTTGCGGTGTACAGCCCACGAAAGTATGCTATATATAAAGCATCACGTGCCGAAAGTGCCCCTGCTGCATAGGCCGCGCAGATTTCCCCAGATGAGTGCCCTATGACAATGTCAAAGTGTACGCCTGCTAGGGCCAAGAGGTCAACTAAAAGGATTTGCACCGCGGTACATACTGGCTGGGCAATTGCCGCCTGGTGGATCCTTGACGAATCGCCCGACGCCAGCATCTCGGCCTGTAGCGACCAGGTCGGGCGGTCGCTAGGATCAAGCGCCGCAAGATGCTCCTCTAGCGATCGAATAATATTTTGGGCCCGGGGAGAGTGCTCAACGAGTTCAGCACCGACACGAGCGAACTGAGCACCTTGGCCGGTAAAAATGCCCAATAGCTTGCCCTTGTTACTATCCCGACTGAACCGATAGCCCACGAGAGACTCCTCTCCTTTATGGAGCGTGGCAATGATTTGTTGTCTGAGTTCTGGGATGGATTGCGCTGGATAGTATACACGGTGTGCTAGAAGAGACCGTCGTTGTCGTAGTGTCCAGGCCAGGTCATGCATCTCGATTGTCGGGTTGCGGTTCAAGAACTCCGCGTACTCCGTGAGGCTGGCTCGTAGCGAATGCTCTGAGCTTTCTGAGAAGACAATTGGCGTGAATAAGCGATCCAAATGTGTTGGCGAAGAAGTAACACTGTTGTTGAAGTGCTCGAGGATGGCATGGGCATTGGTCCCTCCAAAGCCAAAACTGTTGACGCTCGCCCGTCGATGGTGTTCCCCTGATCCGGCAATGGCTGGCCACGGTTTCGTCTCTCCTTGGACAAGCTCAAGGTTCGAGTAGAATGGAGCCACCCGACCGCTTAGATGGCGAAAATGCAGATTGGGGGGGATGAGAGCATGCTGAAGAGCGAGCGACGCTTTGAGGATTCCTGCTAGGCCAGCTGTTCCCTCGGTGTGGCCCAGGACTGTTTTCACCGAGCCGACATACAGCAAATGTCTGTTTTCGGCATCCGCGGTGTGCTGGCGAGGTCCATGGACCTCTTCCTTGCCTCCAAAGAAGGCGGCACGGATGGCCTCGGCTTCAATAGGATCACCCGCCAGTGTGCCAGTCCCATGGGCTTCAAAGTATTGAGGGCCATCTCCTTGCTTCAGGAATGGGCTTAGGCCAGCTTTGGCATACGTTTGACGGATTAGGGCCGCTTGGGATGACGCACTCGGTATTGTGATACCTGGAGTATTGCCATCTTGGTTGATTCCGGTCTCACGGATGACGCATTCAATGTGGTCCCCGTCGGCCAGCGCTTCCTTCAGCGTTTTGAGAATGATTGCTGCGACGCCATCTCCACGCCTGCACCTCTCTAGGATTAGCAACGACTGTTCAATGGCCCTGGAGCATAGACTTACGCATAACCGTTGGCATCTTGGTCCCACATCCTACAGACACCATCGGGAGATAGCATCTTAAGCTTACTCTCGATGATGTAGCTCTCGGGCCCTAGGATGAGGTTGGATCCGCATGCTACGGCAATCCGGCTCTCCCCTGTGCGCAGCGCTTGGATAGCCAGATGCACCGCAACGAGGCTTGAGGAACAAGCGGTATCGAGAGTTATCGACGGACCTCTCCAATCGAAAAAGTGCGATATGCGGTTAGACATGATACTGTTCGCAGTCCCTGTTGCTGAGTATGTCGGTGTCGCTTCCAAATCCCTCAGAAGAATGGACCCGTAGTCGCCGCACATGACACCAACATATACACCCGTGTCACTGCCCCTGAGAGACTCTATGGTCAAGCCAGCTGCTTCGATCCCCTGTTTTTTCCTCGGTGTAAGCATTTAAAGTTCACTTATATATACGAACGTGGAAGATGCTCACCTCGTAGACCGTCTCCAGCAACCATCTCTGCTGTGGGTCGACAGCCTTTGCTTCAACTGGCTTAATGCCGAAGAATTCCGCGTCGAATGCACTCAAGTCATCCTCGAGGAGGTACGAATGTCTGACGTTGGTGTGCCCATTCTGTGCAGGATCATGGTGATAGAAGCCTCTGACACTGAACCTCGAGTCCGGAACTTCGGTACGAACATCACTAGGGTTGGTGAGAAGCTCCCATAGCTTTGACGGCGAATTGGAGCCCCCAGCGAAGTGGCACGCACTGCCTATGATGGCAATCGGCTCACCGCGTTGACACATGATCAGTCTCTTGACTCTATCAAGATACGGGCTGAAATGGAAACGCGATCGAATGATTCAAGTTGCAAGGTATCTGAAGGAACTCAGCTTCCAGGAATCCTTTCTGGCTAAGATACAAGCACGAGCTTCCAAGGGTGAGGGCGCCGCTGGCCGGTTGCACATGGACACGACGTGCGAGTACAACAGCGGCTGTGCCAACAGGAGGGGCAAATGCGATGGGTTCTCCCAGAGCCTCAGATGCGTTCTACAGTATATGCATTGTGGTTACAGTCATGCATGTTCGCCCATTTTGATCACAATAGATAATGCATGTACATCCTTACCCCCATGGTGTGTACCATCTCTGAGCTAGATGACGCAATGCCATTTCGGACCATGTGCTGCCTTTAGGTACATATGTTCTTTCTGGAAAAGAGGTGACCAACTGGGAACCTCCCGGAGTACCCGGGCCGCCCCTTCCCCTCGCCCCTATCATGAGTACTGTGCAGCCGAGGGTCAAACTAATTCCAACACATAGCGACGAGGTTGATGGCGCACTCGTCTTCAGCTTGGTTTGACATATCGAAGGGGTACATGAGATTCCAGGCCCAGCGTTGCAGTTCTGCGGTAAGTACTCCATATTTACCGTTGACTTAAAAATACAGACAAAATCCGACGAGCTTTACCACTGGCCGTACGCACGGTGGCACCAGCCATCACATATGAGGCACCTGAATAAGCTATCCACCTCGACACTTTGCAGATCCCCCAAGGTTCTCCCTAGGTACCTTATACAAGCTTCTATCCAATGTACCCTAACTAGCAATGTACCGGTAGAGGTCCCGGTCACTCGAATCTATCGGCTCCTCTGCCGTGACCACGCTCCTCAAGACGCAACCAAGCCTCATCCCCGGTCTCATATCGGTTGCTATCTGTAGCCCAACTCCTTCCACTTGTAGAGAAGTTCCTTGACTTCGATTGGGAGTCGGAAGAACTGAACGTCGCCTTCAACGTCTTCAGGATCTTCAAGTCGGATATCAGGGGCTTATAGATAGGCGCACAACAGCAGATGATACTGGTGGACATTTGGACAATATCCCAGATCGGGGAGAGAAAGTTATTGTCTGAATCTGGATTAGCTACCTATGGTTCTGATGGGGCGGCTGGACGAAGAGCGACAAGATGGAAGGGGACAACTTACAAGCTGCCGAGTAGGCTTCCTTGATCTTAATCAAACCGATGATTCCTGACCTTTTTACGCATTAGTTCACGTAGCATTATGGTGGGCGAATGGACCTACAGGCCTCCCAAGGCAAACAGCATGCCTAGCTTCCACTTTGCGTGGTTGCTCATCTGCAGAGAGTTGACGATCCAAACAGCAAGGATGATCATAGCGAAGTCAATCAGGCTGTTGATGCTTTCGGTTGCTGCAAGGAACGCGCCGATATTGATGCATTTACCAGGTACGCTCAGGTTCCATATGCTCTCGACTGGGAGGCAAAAGAAGTACTTGACCAGGTAGACCGGCACAAACCAAGCGATCTGTAGGATGCCGAGGAATTGAAGCCAGCGATCGAACGTGCGGTTTATCGAGAAAAGGCGGTGGTAGAAAACCAGTAGGCTCAGCTTAGTAAAGAGCTGGTTTCCGGTGTACTGGGCAGACGTGAACCACCCTACCTAATGCACGGATAGTACCTTTGGCAGATGGGTGTGCGAACATGGGCAATACCTTGAGGATGTGGATTAGCTTCGACGGAGAGACAGCGCCTATTTCGATGTAGACTTGGCCGTTCAGTCTTGAGAGGACTGCAAATTCCCATGAATCAGCACAACTTGGAACTATTGGTATGTTGTGCGATTGAGTCTCTATACTTACGATATAAGAATATCGTCGTGTACAAGAGGTGGAAGAGAAGGGCGAGCAACGCGAAGATGTCCTCATACCCGATCTTTTGGCGGGCACGGCGTGTGGAAATGAAACGAAGGATGATTGCGATAGTACACAGCGGAATAGTTACAACACAAATAACAAACGCTGCTCCTTGCTGAGAGTTCTGGAAAACATTAAAAGCCATGGCCGTCAACAATGCGAAGGTATGTGGTATGGGGATAGAGGTTTGGGGCGTACAGTCCCGTCACGAGGTTGAACTTGCGGTACGGATGAAGGACGCGAAGACAAAAAGCTAAATAGGCACCGACTGCTCCGTAGCGAGTCGATCCGGAATGCAAATCGCGGTTGGTTCATGGGCATCTCATCTCTGGAGGACTTGTCAGGCTGTACGTCTACAAGCCCTACATGTCTCATTGACGTTGTAGTAGTCCCACCTCCCCCCCCCCCCCCCCCCCCCCCTAATGCCGTTGGCTCGTCGTAAGCCCTTCCCAGCACGCCACCCGGATAGGGCTTAGGTCTTAGAGGTGTGCTGATATGAGCCGTGCATAGGCCGGTCAGATCCTCCAACAACATGATATTAACGAGTGTTGCATCGACGTAACACACTAACAGCAAAGGATCATTGAAATGTCACGGCACAGCTGCGGCGAATGACTAGCGCTTAGGTGCATACAATACTCCGATCGGCGGGTAAGTCTCAAGCATGATGAGTACCTGTACTGGTTGGGTTTGGCTGGCACGGCTGGCGCTATCTCCGACACCCCTGCCACCGCAAGAACCTCTCAGACCATCAAACGCTGGGGCGGATGACGGTCTGAGTTTTCCGAGGCAACCCGTAGACCTCTTCCAACGTTTCAGTCACTCGCAAACGTCCCTTGTTCTCTAGTATGAGCACCAAATCAGCTCTCCTCAGTTAAGCATCGTTCCGTACTCAACTCAATCGAGAAGACGACTACAAGATGTTGAGGCTCAACTTGAATGGCTGGTTCTGCTACTTGCTCGAATATGCCTATTCGCTTCCAGAGCCTCCCAAGCGCGAACGAGTGAAGCCCATGGAAGTCCTCTGCGTGGGGCTGCCGCGATCCGGAACAGAGTCACTCCAGCACGCCTTGCTGAAGCTGGGCTACGACCACACCCTCCATGGATGGGACATCATCAGTCAGTATCATCTTGTTCTACTGCCGTGCCTTTCTACATCAAAGGGAGAGTGACTCCTCGGTCGCAATTCACCCCGCAATCGCAGCTGACTCTGAACGCTACAGTGGAAGATCCGAACTACTGTCAGCAATACGTTCGTCTGAGCCGCAAGAAGTACGTACATTGGCTCCCCCGTCCCTGCTTCACTTGACTAATGGGTATCTCAAGGTGGTTCGGCCCCTTGAACGGCGAAAACAGCATCACTGCCGCCGATTTCGATGCTCTACTAGGCCACTCCGTGGCTGTCACCGACACCGCAGGGTCAGTGTTTGCAGCCGAGCTGATCGATGCTTATCCGGACGCAAAGGTCATCCTGAACTACCGCGAGGACATCGATGCCTGGCACCGCAGCGTCACCAACACGCTCGCTCGCGCTGATTCTCATTGGCCGCTATGGGCTCTATCGTGCCTCGGCCGTGAGTGCTTCTGGGCCTGGCACTCACATATACGATTCATGTATCCGGGCTTGTTTCGAGCCCTGGATGGCAACATCAAAACTGGTATTGCTAGAAACGGGAAATGGGTATATCGCGGTGCGTAAAACCAACTCGAGTGTCGCTTTGACTTCGCTGACCACTGAAGTAGACCATTGCAATATGATTCGTGGACTGGTGCCTAAGGATCGACTGCTGGAATGGACGGTGGAAGATGGGTGGGAACCTCTGTGCGAGTTCCTTGGGAAGCCTGTCCCCGAGAATGAACCCTTTCCGTTCACCAACTCGGCGGCTGGATGGGGCGGTCAGGAGTCCAAGGTGGCCAAGAGGTTCTTATTCGGTGCCGTACGCGGACTGCTCTTCCTTGGAGCTGTGGTGATGGTAGTTGTAGCCATTGTGTACAAACTACAATGAGTCATGGCTAGCATAAGGTCCTCAACGGTACCAATCACGGGTGGAGAGACCATTAGTCAGACTGGGGTATCTCAAGAGAGAGGAGAGCAGACTTCATTAGGGTTAGCGTTAGTTTCTACAAGGCTCTCATGTTTTCTGTAGTCTACTTCAGTCTATGCGGTGCGCTGTGAAGTGGATTGAGACCACCTTGATTGAGACAATTGCCATCCACGTGTGTCTATGCAGATATTGACGACGTGTACGCACTCACCGGATGTCCTACTCCACCCCTGCTTGTCCTTGCGTTCTTTCAATGCAATGCATCATGTCTACCTGGCTCGGCCGGAACTACAAGCGTCAGAAGTAAGCGAACACGATGTAGCCAGACCATACTCAATCTATTTATGTCGGATGTTTCTACCAGATCAGATATTCGAGCCCAAGTCTTCAATAGACACACCAGGTACATACAGCTCGTCAGTATCACGTACCCCATTTAGGCTCTACATAGCCTCCCATCATCTCCAACAGTCCAGAAATCACTGCCAACGCCTGTGTAGGCATAGAATAGGTGGTTGGGATCATATTTCGTCTTGATATCCAAAAGGCGGTCGTAGTTAGCGCCATAGAACTCTTTTTTCCAGTCGCCGATGTACCATGAATCGACCTCGTTCAGATACGATCCGGAATTAGGCGTGACGGCCTCTAAAGATGGATTGATGATGCTGGCAAGATGCTCCTTGCGTGATAGCATCTCAGCTCTTGGGATAGTCCAGTTCCAATAACCAGTGACAGTGCAAACGGCAATTGTGTCCCGCCATACCGGCAAGACGGCATTCTCAGGGTGGCCGGTGGCATTGACGTGCAATGATTCGCACCCGAGGAAGAAATATCCATATTGATATTCGGTGAGGTTCCTAATCGTTCCCACAAGCGCAGAGTTACTCTGGGGGTCTTCAACCACGGCTCGTGGGAAAAGACGATTGCTGAAAAGTGTGTTAGATGGGTACGGGCCATAAGGCAATGGCCCCAGATCGGCGCCGAAATGGTCGATGAAGTTTGGCGACGTCGTTGAAGAGTACGTATATGGCACTCCTAGGCGGTCGAGCTCGCCGAGGTAGGGTGACATGAGGGTGTCAACAGCGCTTGCCTCCTGCCCAGGCACCGTGAAGCTGACGCCCTCGAAAGTGGTTGCGGAGACCAGGTACTCGGCCGTGTTACCACCATCCAGTCCATCAACGAAGATAGGCATCCAGGCATAGAAGGTCTCGATGGCTTTCCAGTAGGTGTCTGCCTCAATCGAGGATGAGTTGTACGACAGGCGGGCGCCGCCGACGATTCCATCTGGGTGAATTTTATACGTCATACTAAGTACGACGCCCCAGACTCCAGCACCGCCGCCGCTCATGGCCCAGTATAGGTCGGAGTACTGGTTTGACGGCGTGGCAACTATGTGCTTGCCGTCGGCCGTGACGAGCTCCCACTCTAGCACGTTATCAGCACCCATGCCGTACAGGCCGTTGAGGATCGAATGGCCTCCCCCAGCTGCATAGCCGCCAGCAATGCCGACACTAGCACATGTTCCACCAACAGCCCGGTACCCTTGGCTAGCAGTGGTGGCATATAGCTCGCCTCCGATGACACCGGCACCGATCCTGATGGCTGGTCCACTGTAAAGGGGGCTTGTGTAGTTTGAGAGGATCTCAGTCTCTTTGAGGTTATGGGTCCAGAGAGAAAGAGAACCTTCTCCGGTTGATTTTCCCATGTAGCTGCGAAATAGGGGTTAGGTCATCTTGGGTAGAGACAAGAAGGAGGAGTCTTACTCGTGTCCCGTGTTCTTGATCACCAGCCTGATATTGTGCTCGCTGGCGAACTGAATGCCTGCGACAACCTCTGCTGGTTGCGATACATTGATTGAGTACACCGCATAGTTTCCCAACTCGCACGGCTTCTCCCTCGGGGTAAAAGGGTCACATGATTGGTTCTGGAAGAACGGGTTCATGATGCCTGACGGGTCTGACTCGCTAATTGTTTCGTCGGGTCAGATCACAGCTTTCCAATGGATAGAGGGCAGGATTCCGTGCACATACAAAATAGGGGCATAATCCCAATTGTCTTGCAATGCCTGACAGGCGGGCTTGTTGAAATTGAGATACGGGCTGTCATGGCATAAACTTGCCTGTGGCACATTCTGAACAAGGCGGCCACCCGTAGTCGTGTTAAGCTGATCCCACTCGGATAGTGATGGCCAGCCTGAGTCTCCCGGAAGGTTCCTGCAGTCCTCTTGCACTTGAGAGAGTACTACAACCATCAAGTGGCTTACCGCCACACAGATGAAGGCAGACTGGCGCATTCTGGGTTTATCGTGTCGTAATTGACTGGTTCAAAGTGATGTTCAGGATGTTGCAGTGAAGGCACGACGATAAGATGGAGTGGCTGGGATAACTATCTAGGGCCCATGGAACGGAACATGGCTCTTATACTCGACTTTCGCAGGCAGGCTGAAAGCCCTGGACATCAACATCTACAGTTACGGCGCCCTAGTTGGCTCACGTAGTTCAAAGCTCGCGATGATCTCCGTACTTAGATGTGATCACAGTAGTATGGGGCTTAGCTTTGCCCCGGCCCCACCACCTTTATTTTCAAATTGGTATTCCAATATCAAGGAGATGCTTGAGTTTCTTTTACGCGTTATATTACATTAGCCGTAAGGTCTCATAGTCGTATTGGCTTTCTCTTCTTTATAAAAATCACTCATTCGGCTCCGAGGTTCGCCAAACTGCCTACCTGGCAAGCTCGCTCTGATAAGAGCTCCCACCGAGAACGGCGCTTCGAACATCTGACACTTCCGACGAGTAATTCCTTCTATCCTTTGTTAATCATGACGCCGCAAATGCAGACAGCAATTGTCCAGGCTCCGGCTGGGGCATCAGAGAAACTCCCGCTGGTCATTTCAAGAACGGAGATGATCCCGCGTCCGCCGTCAGCTCATCATGTCCTTGTGCGTGTGCTAGCCACAGCCCTCAACCCAAATGACCACAAGATGATCATACACTTCCCATTGCCTGGCAAGGGGGCCGGCTGTGACTTCTGTGGCGTTGTAATGGAACAGTCGGGTAACAAGGGATTCGGCACTGACACCCAAGACACCCTAGCCCCTGGCACCAGGGTATGTGGTACTGTCTTTGCCTACGCAGCAACCGATGATGGGAACCAACACCGTCGCATTGGAGCCTTCTCCGAATACGTGATCGCCGACTCACGTCTCCTGATCCAGGTCCCCGAGCATTGGAGTGACCTGCAGGGCGCGGCTCTAGGGGGGGTGGGTTGGTCGACTGTCGGCCTGGCAATGTCGCATCCTGACCATTTCCGGTTGTTAGGAATCCCCTCACGGCCCGCGGAAACCAGGCTGCCCGTGCTGGTATACGGTGGCGGTACAGCGACAGGGACCATGGCATGCCAACTCTTGAAGCTGTAAGTGGACTGTGGACCCAGTCGCGCATGGTATCTGACCTATCGGTTGCTGTCTTAGCTCTGGATACGCACCCATCGCTGTCACGAACTCGAGAGCATCGGCAGCGCTTGCGATGCACTACGGTGCCAGTGGCACAGTATCTACAATTGCTCGCGACGGCAGAGAGCCCCTTGATGAGATCCGCAGGATTGCGGGCGGCGAGCCGATCCGCCATGCACTCGACTGCATAACCGATGCGGGGTCGGCATCCTTCTGCTTCGCCGCCATCGCACGCACAGGCGGGCATTACGCATGCCTCGAGCAGTTCTCCAACGAGTGGCGCACACGACGCGTCGTAAGCGTCAAGGAGGTGATGGGCTACCAGATACTTGGCCATCATGTCGATCTTGGGGGCATGAAATCAGCCTACACCCGCGAGGCCAGCGAGGAAGCGTTCAACCTTGGTAGGCGATGGGCGGCAGAGATGCAGGAGTCGGTGAACCGAGGGTTAGTTGAGCCCCACCCAGTACAGGAGGTTCCTGGCAGATGGGACGGCATCTTGTCCGGGCTGGCTATGTTGCATGCCGGCAAGGTCAGAGGCCGAAAGTTGGTTGTACGGATTTCAGTATGATTGGAGTGACTGGTGACCGGTCAACTGTACATGACCTATATTAAGCTCAGAGTGACAGGGGCCGGAGCTTGAGTACGACGTCGGACAAGTTTGGGGTGAAGTCTACGTCGCCCCTTTCTTACAGAGGACCGAACATGTCATTGTGTGACACCAATATATGATATGATTTCCATCCAAGGTTGCCGACCCCTCTTCAAACTGACTGCAGGCCAGGTTGAAATACGACATTAGTTGCATAGTGACACAAGCTGCAGCTCGCCTCTGCTACACAGGGGGCTGGGGGATGAGGGAACCAACAAATGCCCCTTTCCAACTGCCAGCGGCCCGCCATCCGAGCCGCCCGCTGCCAGCCACATCAGATCAATACCAACAGCCCAGCATCCAAGCTGGTTTGACAGATGTACATTGGATTGGGTGTATTTTTCAATACATAAGCAGGTACCACGGTCGCAGAGCAACAAGTACTCCCCCCGCTTTGAGCCAAGCCCCAAGGGTAGCTGGGATAAACGACCTGGTATACCTTACGCTACCCCCTGGTCCAGACCCTTCCCTTGAACCGTTGGCTGTTCGTTTGTCGCAGTTCAGTCATTCCTCCCGAACGCTGCGCGTTCGAAGACATCCTAATCTACAGCAAATCTCATCTTTGCTGCCGGAATTTGTCACCATACTCGGTCAATCAAACGTCCGCCCTCACGTCTCCTCGACAGCAGGTACTCTAGCTCAAAACTCCATCTAGAATGGCTCCCTCTTTGTCCAGCGTCTGGACCCAGTTCTTCCCGCCGAAGCCTCGATTCACCGAGAAAGACGTAGGAGATCTGAGCGGCAAGGTGCGTGCCTAGAGGCTTGAACAAAGGGTCCAACTCACATTATTCCAGGTCTATATCGTGACTGGCGGCAACTCCGGGCTCGGTAAAGAGCTTTCCCGTCTGCTTTATTCCAAGAATGCAAAGGTCTACCTGACCGCACGCTCTGAGGAGAAGGCCAAGGTAGCGATTGCGTACATCAAACATGCTGCCCCTACATCTACTGGCTCGATAGTCTTCCTCCCCTTAGATCTGGAGGACCTGGCCTCCATCAAGACATCAGCAGATCGCTTTCTAGCAGCTGAGACCCGATTGCATGTACTCTTCAACAACGCAGGAATCCAGGGCCCAGAGGGTGCGATCGAAAGGACAGCTCAGGGTTATGAGAAGCAATTGCACGTAAACTGTCTTGGCCCCTTCCTTTTCACCCAGTTCCTCGGTCCAGTACTTAGCGCCACCGCCCAAGACCCGGCTACACCACCGAACACGGTTCGCGCAATCTTCCTGTCATCGTGTGCAGCCGAGTTCTTCTGTGAGCAGAACACAGGCTTCGACATGAGCAACCTAGATTACCATGTCGACAAGCCGAGTAAATATCGCTACGGTATCAGTAAGCTCGGCGACTGGGCCTATGCCGTCGAGATGTCGAAGCGTTTCAAAGGCGTCATTGGCGTGCCAATCAATCCGGGGAATCTGCAAACCGAGCTGTTCCGTCACCAGAGTGCCATATTCAGACTGTTGACGCGGCCCTTCAACTATCCACCGGCCAACGGGGCGTACGCAGAGCTTTGGGGCGGTCTTTCTCCTGAAGTTACGGCAGAGAAGTCTGGGAGCTACGTCGTGCCCTTTGGACGATTCTATCCTATTCGTGGCGACCTCGAGGCAGCAGTCACACCAGAATCGCAAGGCGGCAACGGGACTGTGGCCAAGTTCTGGGAATGGAGCGAAGAACAGGTCAAGGAGTACTGTTAAACTTTGCGGATGGTGACTGGAAGCTCAGGCTCACCAGGACAGGGAACGGTCAGGATATTGGTGGTGATTGGGTGGGTCAGTCAGATTGTTGTCGGCCATCTTCGTGTTTCTCTAATGTATCGGCTTACCTTGCCGTCGCTCGTTCTCTTCTGGATATGATATGACTCTTTTGCAGCTTGAATACGCAATAATAATCCATGTCTTATACTGGCTCACTCTGTAGTTGTTGGTGCTCAAGCCGCGAGTGCTTCTGTGACAGTGGCATGCTTTCACACCACATACTACTCTGCTATGATCTTCTAAAACTTCCGCTGATGTTATCGCTTGGTTCCTTTGTGGTGTCTGCGTGGTTCCTACGTACAGTTGCATACTGCTGGATATTGCATTCACAATGTTTGAGGCTCTTGGATTCCTCTTCGCGGGCACCTGACCGACTCGGGCCGGTTACCCTGAATAGGGTGGCATTATTGCGTGTGATGATGTATGGGCTTTCACATTAACTGCACATTCGTAGGCTTCATTGCAACCGTGATTATTGACGCTAGCCTCTTGCCACTTGCCATTGCATGTTATGCATATCATGCCCGACCACCGTGGCCCACGAGCAGTTCCAACATGCATCGACGATGTGCCAGTGAATGTTACCCATCTTATGCCAGACAACGCGGCCCACGAGCAGTTCCACCAGCATTGGTGATGTGGCAGTGGATGTTACCGCGTTGCAGCCATATAGACCGTGAGAATGATTTCCTACTATTGGAGGTCCTCGGTGTATGGGACTTCTGCTTGCATACGCGACGACTATGGGCTTGGGGTCCAAGGCCATGGAACGATCGAACTGCATGTATATGACTCTAACATCATGATCGTTCGGCAGGCTACGAGGCAGGCTACGAGGCAGCCAGTCACCTCACGTCATGTGCGAAGCACAAATCACGCATGTAGTGTAACCTACTCCAAGTCCTTCATTCCAAACAGCAGGCTGCTGCGGTTCGTCGTTATGGGCAACCAACTGCATGAGATTCAGCCCCGCAATCGGTAACGATCGACCCCTATCATATGACAGCCGCCACGGAGCCTTTCCAGCACAAATTCCATCTACATCAGATGTGCAAGGCTGCGGTACTCGTTACATGGACAGGAAATGATGCAGGCGGTTGGCATGCGCACCACCTCGCTTGGAAACGCTTCGCATGACATGATGGTTCGGCCTATTATCAAAATCGAGTGAGGATCGCCTAGTATCATGCATCATGCGTGGGATGTTGGGAGACGAAGTCGGAATGGAATGGTACCAAGCCGGAAGCATTTACCTGATGCACCAACTGGCCAACTGAAACTCGATGCTTCGCCCCGATATACGCATGTTGAATCATTGAAGTCCGGGGCGGGAATCGAGCGGTAAAGGTGCAAGTGCACATATTCATCGGTTTCTCATGGTCTTGCTATTCGCCTGGATTGGGAGGCCTTACCTCATCCCACGGGAATAGCGGTAGGGGGCTCATATGCAAGGCCCTTAGTTGCTGCTGCATTCGTAGCTTACAGTATTCTCTGGCGGTAAGCCCCCTGAGATGCAGTCCCCAACGGGAATCTGACAGTAATGTCATCTTCGTGAAGCCGCGTTGCGATGAGGAGTGAACCAATTAGAGTGTTCCTGTCACCTAACGTCGTTTCTGTGAGAATCAAGATCCTGATCTGACCATGAACATAGTCGAAAGGATGTCCAGATATCTCTGTGCAAAATGCTCACCTTGGTTAACAATACAGGTGCAACAGTCCCGGCGCTGACGGTCCGACTATATGCTGGGCTACCTTTATCTATGGTAGCGACTAGGTAGGTTCCATCGCGCATATCGCACCGCGATGAGGTCGAACTGTCTGGCACCTACCTACCCCTGAGTCCGAATCCTGACCGTGGAGGCTATGGGAGGGGGTCCTCAATCGATCGACCAAAGTGGTCTGCCACGTTCGCCGGGAAACCCTCCCGATGGTCAGTCACTCCAAGGCTCATGTGGTGATCCATAACATGGACGGTATGTTGGACGTCTTCCACGATAAACCGGCCACCAGGGTCAACATCGAGGAGGCCTAGTCTTCTCCATCTGAACACATGCTCAAGAAGAAGGGGGAGAAGGAGGAGGAGGAGGAGGAGGAGAAGGAGGAGAAGGAGGAGGAGAAGCACAAAAAGCGACAAGGCAGATGAAGGCATCGTCTCCGCGGTCGTGGCGTGTGTCGCCTATTGGAGTGTGCATGTTGGATCTTGGATGTGAGATGTTAGAACGCTACGAAGGTAGCAACCAGTTCAAGCCATTAATGATGCCTTCGTACTCTGCACGAATTTAGATATGATCTCAGATCGTACGATATGTCTTGTCAGAGTCTGACTGGGAGAGAATATTTGCGAGGGTCGGGCGCGGGCTTCTTTGTCTTATTGGAGACTGGAGTTGGCGCTGAAGCTGTCAAATAGTTCGTAGTGGTTCATATGGTTGGTTTTCGTGTATTCAGTGCTGATTATGCTGTTCCCCCTGATCGGTGTACTGCCACCTCCTTAACGCCACCGTGGCTTACGTGCCATTCGACAGGAGTTGGAAGGAAGGGAGGTTATGGATATCGGACGCTCCTTCCTCGACTTCACCGCCGGCCGCCAACCGTCTTCTGCCCGCGATTGGCAGGCCATCTCTGTCATTCTTCAGTTTTCACTCACCACTCGCCACCCGAAAACCAGCAGCCCAACCACCGTCCCTCATCTCTACTTCGTGCTGCGTGCTTCCCGCTGTCCCCTCTTCGACGCAACCTCCCTAGAAGAGAGCCGGCCATACAGTCGCATCACGAAAGCCGGAGCGACCGACCGATAGCAGTGCCGTCGTCCAGGCGTACGGTTCGTCCCATTATCTCAGTGGTTCGGCTCTCCCACTTGAAGAAGCGCGAGACAGCACACCCATATACTAACTTACCACCATCAGCAGTAACGAGACCATCGCCGATCAGCATGCCAATCCTGTCGAGTTTGGGCCTTCTTTCGATTGCCGACCTTGCGATACCGTCATCGAACATTCTATACACAAGTGCCAGAGGCTGGTTCAAGCCACAGCGAGGCAGCGACGAGGCCTTCTCCAAGACAGCGAGACTGACTCGAGTGGTGGAGACCTGCCCTGCAACGACCATCCATACAGCCAGTTCCAGACAAGATCGCGAGAGGCACGCGAGACAGAGGCATATCGCTAGATAGCATGGAGGGATTCGAGGCCCGCATGAAGAAACTGGAGCACCGAGAAGAACGCGCGCGTCTAAGGAGTGGGAGGCGAGGGGTCATACGGGAGGGCGGTAGACGAGGACGAGCCTATACTTGCTGATGACGAGTCGTGGAGGAGGAAAATGATGCACCTATGTACGACCTCGATAGAAACGAAGGAGTCGAGCCCGAAAATACAAGGAGAAATAAGGCCGAGCTAGACGAGGCAGGCTGCACATGGATCAATGCGGATGACGTGGGGATACCTGGTCGACCACGACACCATCCACTCCAGGCAATCCTCCGACGCGACCCTGCCGTCGTTCAAGTTTACTTCGAGCAGGGCCACCGCATTGCCAATGCAGGAGATCAACCACAACAAAGTCAGGCTCAATTACAACAAGATCAGGACCGAATGCAACAGGTTTAGGACCAGAATCGGTCGTCAGTGGTCACCAGAAGCCTCCCCTGCTAGCATGCCGAGTACAAAACGCGCGCGGTGTCAACCTGCTTCTCGACAACGGAGCGAGCGCGGTGCAGGCAGACAAGCATTCCGTCGTTATTTATCTGCTTTGCTGGTACCATATCGTCTACATAGAGAGACCCCGATGCGACAGTCAAGCGATGGAACCGTGTCTTTGTCGACTACGATGAACCCTCCGTATCTGCGTCATGGGAGAACTTTACACCTGGTGGTGCTGTGCGGCATACGGACATGGTCCCATTCGGCCTTTTCTTCCTAGAAGAGGGATCGCTGGCGCTATACCACACCACGATGCCGCACCGCTGGCAGCAGATAGACAGTCAGGCATCTCTCGGCATTCCTGACGTGGTAGAGTATTCTTTCACAGCTACGCATCTGGCACGGTACCTCAAACTTGCATTCTTCCGCGCATGCGCGTTCCGGAGTCCCCTCGTACCAGTCAGTCCAGAACCTCAATTCTTAACATAAGAGCCTTTCGACCTGCTTGGATACTTTATCCATATATGACTTCGTATCAGTCTACTCGTCGTCTTCCCTCTCGCCAGGCATTTGTACACTACTGGTAGATCTGCGATGCAAGCGGCTTCGGCATGGAGACACGTTGTTGTTCCAGGAGCCTTGATCGAGAGAGAGCTTAATTCCGCCGAGACGGAAGTATTTATTCACCGCCTCGGTCCCGAGCCTGACCTCGAAGTTTTCTCGCAGGTCTACCAGGTGCTCGGAATACGACGGCTTCCTGGCGGATCCGGGGAACTTCCAACGCTACGTCGTGCGTCTGAACTAGGAGGCCGAGGAACTCCGCATAGCTGATCGCGCGGCGCGCCAGGCACAGGAAGATGGAGGAGAGTCAGCGTTGCAACGGCTGAAGTGTCCATAGTACTACATCGTCATCACCGGGTTGTGTGTGATAGGACGCAATCCATCATTGCATCCGAGCGACCTCCGCATCGTCGAGGCCGTAGACATCCCCAAACTCAGATATCTTCGGGACGTCGTCGTGCTCCCGGCTACCGGTGATAGTGACTTCTCTTCCATGTATTCTGGCGGAGATCTTGACAGTGACGACACCGTCTATCTGGTGCCCTGAGTTGATACCGCCTTCGTCGGTGTGAAATTACGCTCCCATGCACTACGACTCGGATAATAGAACAAAGGAGCTCCAACGCGGGTCCCGACCTGTCTTGATTTCCGGACTCCTAACTCCCGGGCACGTAAATCAGAGCCCAGGCACTCGATATGGGTGTCGAAACATGCACTACCCTCTCATTCTCGTGGATGCCAAGCATGTTCTTGGCGGTATCTACCCGTATTGGGCGCCTAACGTCTGCCATCTCTCAACGATGGCTGTTGTACTAGATGCCGATATGACTCGCGATTGCGGCCCGCCGGTGCCTGGGTTGTCGGGCCTGGCTGGGTGAGCCTCGGCGGCCGATGGGTGCTGATACTTAGCGCTGGGTGCACACCTGCGTGTTTTGGTTTTGACTACGTGCATCTTCGGGCCCTTCTCCCAGAGCGAGGTGATTCTATTATCATCAGCGCGACATCTCTTCCGGCGGCATATTTACTGGTGAACGCATTTTCCGTCGACAATATCGCTACCAACTACATCCTTGCCGGCAGCTATCCCTACTCACCTCAGCCCCCGAGCACAAGCCTGCGCAAACGACTTACGAGCCAATCTTTTCTTCGTTTCTCACGGGATGCTCTCTTCAGAATCAGTCCACGTCTGTCTAGCAAGTATCCTCCATCCGCCCCAGAAAATAATTTTGCACAGATGACCCACGAGCCAATGGTCCTTGGCTCTCCGTGATGCTCTGTATAAAGCGACCGCGTCTGTCTGGCAATCATTATTACCGACTGCACCGCCGGAATCATTACTATATTGTCACCGGCATGGTATTCTTACATCTTTTGCCCTCAGAAACCCGTTTGCGAAGAGGACTCACGAGCCAACCTGCCTTGGCATCGCTCGCACTGCCATCTCCAGAAGTAATCTTCGTCTTCCTGGCAACAAGCTCGTCGAATCACAGCTCAAGCTTTATGCATCATGGGACAGCTTTTCAGCGCCGAGAACAGCCGAGAAAGGTTACGGTCCAGTCACATCGAACAAGGGTGACACTCGATTGTGTGGTGGTCTGGGCATCAAACCCTTTGGCGCTTTGAGAATGGCTTCTCAGCAGTGTCAATACCCAAGAAGGGCTACGCTGCGGTCGCGTCGACCAAGGGCGACATTCCACTCTTCGATCGTGAAGCCCACCTGCTTTGTGCGAATCCGAGCCCATCCTGGGCTTGATAGGTAGTAGCGCTTGGGTTGCTGGATCCTCGCTACGTGTTGCACAGCATTGGCGGGTGTGTCGAATAAGGGCAATATACTTCTCTTCGGTGCTCCATTCGACTACCTTGAGCTCTCAGAGTCGATGGCCGCGCCTGTTGAACACCTCCACCAAGATCAAATTTCAAGCCGACGATCCCGCGTTGTCAGAGATACCTGCTCACAAGCCCAATCATATGCTCGAAATTCACCTCCAAGTTTGGAGGTCCAGGGAGACGATAGGCTGTCAGTAGCTTCCAGAATGACAACTCATCGCCGTCGGGCACCAGGAATCGGCAAGGCCGTCGACTGGAAGGAGGTCCCCAGACTCATATTGATCGCCGGCTCTGCTGCTATCCTTGAACGCAATGAACGCCTAAGACGACGCGCACCACAACTGGCAGAGTAAGGAATGGGAGACAGAGCACACCATACGACCCTGGTTCGTCCAGGGGCATCCCTTCTACCAGTTGCTGCACTACGCACCGGCCACGGTCTACGGGTGGTGGCTTTGGTCCCTTCGGCCCTCGTCACCACTTTGCTAAAGATTACGGTGAGCATGGATTGATAAAAGTATGGATGCTATGTCAATCTGCATTGTCGGGACTAGGACTCTCCTCATTTCAACATTCCTCCTATTCGACTTTGCCCCTCTTTTTCTCCTTGCGGTATGTTTCAAATTCTGTTTTACCCAAGGCATTATCCAATGCCTCCACCGCTCCAACCTGTCGCATAGCTATAGCTACAGGACACTCTCAAATACAATAGCCATACTGACTCAAAGCAACGCAGTGGTGCGCCACAAAACAAACGCAAAGAATTGGGACCCAATACCAGTGACGGCTATGAAGCTACCCCCAATCAGCCGCGTCGAAGCTATACACATTCCCGAGCACTTCAAACCCAAGCAGCCCACGACCTCGCCTGAGTAATGGAGAAGAAATATAATGCGCGCCTAGCCCCCATGCGAAGAATTCGAAACCGAAATGCGAAATGCGCTTAGCCTCTCTACATCGTCGTTAGTAAAGACGAGCGCAGCCCTCCTCAGCTAGCAATTCAACCAGATGGCCCAGAGCCTACTCGCGCCCACGAGCGCGACCTTCCCGCGCGTGAGTGGGCGCGTGGGTCGGCTTATTGCCGGCCGCATTTAGAATCTACTTCGCGCTGGGACCTGATTGCCATAGTCCCGGTTACCGGCGACCAAATCCGTGACCCCGACCTCGGAGCCAATTTCGCGGAAGTGCGGACCAACGCGTTGGCCGCTGTTGGCCGCTCCCGTGGTGTGCTTTCGGCCACCGAGGCACGGCCGGCAGAAGATGCTCCATGCAACCAAGCAAGCTTGCAAGTCTTAGCAAGCAACCGAAATCAGACCATCTAGCCCATCCATCCCGTCCATCCCATCCAGCCAAGCAACCAACTACCTACCTACCTACCTACCTACCTACCTACCTACCCACCTACCTACCCACCTACCTGTTTGTTTGTTTGTTTGTTTGTTTGTTTTGTATTTAACGTGGGGGATTGCTCCTCAGTAGTGCAAACCACGCCTCCCAGAGCCTTTGCATCGCAGGGTTGTGGAGGTATCAAGATAATAAGTACAGTCTGTCCCGCTCACGAGCCCATCCCCGTTGTTGCGGCGGTACCTTATGAAGATATGGAGGTCTTCTTTCTGCGTCGGCGGTCGGGTCTCGGCGTGTTCCTTAGGGCCGTTTTTAATTGCCTAGAGCTGGATACCATTCGCAGTAACCCCTGCATACGTGGGTCGTACGGGGGGTTGTTTGTAGTCTTTGTTGGGTCTGTGGTGGGGTGCGCTTGGGCACCTCTTTTGCTGGGCAGGGGTTCTGTTACTGCCGGCTCTTGTCCTTTGCTGCTAGCGAATACGCTTGTGCGGAAGAACTGGGAAAAGCTGATAGCTATCTGTTGGGCGTAGGCCAGCTGTTCTGGGTCCTTTGCCACGGTCGCGACGGCTGTGTCGAGGGATCTGGCAATGAGTTCCAGGATATCCGTTTAAATTTTCTCTTTGTGGCATTGTTCCTTTACTGCTTAGTGCAGGGCTTATAAGGCCGAGTTTTGGGCCTGAGTAGCGTGTATGGAGGCATTGAGACCATCAGGCTTTGCGAAGAGGTTGATAAGAGTAGAAGCTGTTCCGGAGACAGTGTTATTCTTGTCCTTATTATCCTTTCTTAAAAGCACCGTCGGGATTGGGGCCCATTGTGTTGAATTTCTCCGCATGTGGAGCGATCTCAGACACCCGGCTGAGGCTGAGGGGCGGAGGGTGCCGCTGCACTGCGCTATCCCTCGAGGGAGGGGTCGTAGGGACAGCAGCAGCTGATAGCTGGGAAGCCATAGCGAGGATCGTGAGATCTGGGGTATGGTGTTTTGGTCAGTCAGAGGCGTCTGTTAGCGTAATGGCTGGCTGGGGTAGGCTACCCACTAACAGTGGGCGCCAAGAAAAATATTTTTTGTCGTTCCGCATCAAACCCCCCGTACTAGTTCACCGTTACGTTTGGGATTGTTTCCTTGACGAGTCCGAAGTTTAGCACAGGCGTATGAGGCACGAGGTGCGTGATTACTTGGGAAAGAGTCCAGGATGAAGCTGAATAGCAGACTAGCAAAACATCCACACAGCAATACACTCGATTACTATGAAGCAGCTCAAGGAGGCCCAGGAGAGGATAACTTTCCGATTCGGGCGGCAGTTGTTTGTTTGTTTGTTTGTTTTGTATTTATCGTGGGTGCAGTCCCTCAACAGGGCAATCCACGCCTCCCAGAGCCATTGCATCGCAAGGTTGTAGAGGTGTCAGTCTAGATACATTCAGATCCGCGCACGAGCCTATCCTCGCTGTAGCGGTACCAACCTGGAGTGACCAGATGGTTTTAGTCAATAGTGTCTATGCTGCCCTCTATATGGTAGATAAGATAGGCATAACGACAGCAGGAAACTGTCCTTTATTTGTAACATAGCTGAGGAATTGATTGCCTGAAGTATTTGCTGGATAGATAGGGCTTGCGAAGAAGCTGTTACTTTCTGATTAATTGTGGCTCATTCCAGACGCTAGCAGGATAGAGAGGTCGACGGCACAAGGTCCTCTTGTAGCTACACAGTGTATAGCGCTAGACTTGTGTCGACATGATGAGGACGACGAGTAGCAGAAGTTGCAGCATTAAAAGAACTTGAAAGACACCGCACTTATTACAAGCGATGAGGCGCAATGGACTGGCTGGCTGTTTACCGATGAACATGCAACCGTCATAGCCAGTTACCAGTCCCAGCCGCGGAACAATCAGGGCACTTGGCGACTTACATCAATCTACATGAGGTCTGCTATTTGCTTCCAAACCAAATCAAACCACGCTGTGTACGCGGTGTTGATCCGAATACCGGGGTAGAACATTTATATATTGATGATCCTACTTGTCTCCTTACGCTTGTCAACGGCGGATCGTACCTGCTACTCGTAAGAGTAAGTCACCTTACTTACCCCTAACGTTATTTGCTTTTATGTCATTTCAGCTCCCTATCAGACCTAGCCGCGTGCATACCTCGGAAATGTAGATGGTCTGATCGCATGCATGTCAGCCTTAAGAGTCAATAGTAATAATGACAGCGAGCGAATTTTTTTAATAGCGACACAAGCCCTCCGAACCACCAAAACAGTCAACGTCACCATCGCCAACATCATGACAGTCCATCATGAATCACAAAAGCAAGGGCAAGAAACCTGGCCACATAACGCTACCAGTCCATATCACTGTACCTGTATCTTCACTATCTTCACTATCTTCACTATCTTCACTATCCCATCACTGACACGCTTCATGCTTCATACTCCGCCTCATGCCCCGCGACGTCACTATCCCAGTAACGTCTCAATAAGCAGGAAGACACCGACAGTTGACAAACTATCAACCTCAAGTACAAGGGACGAAACCCCACAGCCTGTTCCGGCGGTGTTGGCAAGACTTCGCTGTGGAGAGGAATCTGCGTCTCCTGCTACCCGATCGCCCGTCCGCCATCTCTTCTGGGGACGCAGTCACCATCACCAGCTGCCTTCTTCTCGGCTGCGTACCGGTAGAACTTAACATCATCGACATCCTCTTGCGGGTCTTCCCCAGGACCGCCTTCGAAGATTGGGTGTTCGTCTGCCATGACGCGGATCGTTCCGGATGAGCCCGTCGGGCTCGAGTGGATGTGAAGGGGGTTATGGGTGTCGAGTGTTCAGAGTTAGAATCCTTCGAAGTGGGATAGTCCGGGATCAACTGGTCCCCTTGTGGTTGGATCGGGTCATGCCAAACTCATCAAGGAATGGATTGTCTCGTCCGGGACGGATATCGCAGGCCACAATCGTATCCTGAACAATAGCGAAGATGTATTTCTCCGTCATGTCGTTGGACTTCTGGAATTGCCCCTGTTGGTAGACGAAGCGAACACTGTGTAGCGTTCCAAATATTAGACGTGTCCATTGCCTTGACATCTTGCCAGCTCCCGTTGGGATCGAATAATACGACAGCACACTTATGGTTGACGGACTTGAGGAACTGCGAGTATTCGTCGCATAAGATAGTCTAGGCGAAGCGTGTAAATAGGACATGCGGCAAGATCTCGGTAAGGTATATTGCAGTTGATAATTTGATAATTATCTGCAAACTTGGGTATATATAGGGCAGAAGGATATGCATGACAAGAACTGGTGCGTATTGCTGCCCCCCTTTCTGATCTTGTCGCTGCTATGACTACCTTGACCTTGTCTACCTAAGCACCTGCCCAAGCACCTGCCCATGACCCTAACCTAGCTCTTTGTCCTGGTCTTGCTCTCCAGTGGTGGCTCGCTGTTGGACATGCCGCCATGGGCACTCTTCCGGGGAGCGAACTTGCAGACACCGGGGCTTAGCCGAGCTGCATCTGCAAGTAGGCTCGGCGCGAACTGTGCAGTGCGTGTGGTTCGCGCCGTCGACGTAGGGAAGAGGTCGCATTGGGTACTCGAGGCTGCCCTGCTGTCATGGTCGCCTGACCTGAGGAAACGGCAATACAGTTCGTACATATTCAGTGCGCTGGCATATTGACCACGCTCCTTTTGTTGCCGCGCCATTAGCAAAACGTAAACCCTCCGAGCGCGTGTCATCATGTCGTCCGTCGTCGATACGCCGCTCCAAAGCCTTGAGGCGCTTCTGCACCTCGTCGTTGACCTCCGGCGGCACTGGTGCAGACTGCGTCCAGGAAGCCAGGACCCCACTGACGTTCTCTTCTACCATGGCCTCGATCAGGTTTGCCGAAATTGCCGGCGGGGAGGATTTCGCATGCCGGGGCACAAGGGTTGTTGTGCTACACAGCCTTGCTGTCCTCGGCCTGCCGTCCAGGCACACGTTGTCAGGTGAGATTGAGGTTGCGGCGTCGCAAGGTGATTGGGGACGATGGTCTATCGACGAGCATCGGACAAGGAGTACAAATCATAACGGGACAAAAACATGTTGTAATCATCGGTTGGGGGGAAGTCGAGAAGAGGAGCGGGGCAGCGCTTCATGTGGTTGCTGCCACACCAGGTGCCTTCGCGCGAGGGAACGATATGCGTAGCGTGGACGGCTTCGTGGTATCCAATGGCTCGATAAGTGCGATGGCGGGCTGTGCCGACCCTTTTGGCGGTCAGAGCCGACCCGCTGACCATGGACGACGACAGGAGACTGAGCTTGCCGGTGATGACCTGGGACCAGGGCTGGGGCAGTTGATCGTGGGGGCAACCGCTAGTGGTCGAACGAGGAGCCACGGGGTACCGGTAGCTCGTGTTATCGTCGACGACGAGTTCGTACATCGTCTCGCGCAGGGTGCGGTTGGCCGTCACGTCGACCTTGCATAGGCTATCGTCAGGTCTGCGCGTCTTGTCGGCAAGCCACACGAGCCTCTATCCAAACATTGTCGGTCAAGCTGGCGGAGGCGACGAGAGCAGTGTCAAGTCAGTGCCACCATCGACGATGCTGCGAGAAAGAAACCCGTTGGCGCCGCCGGGGCGTTCTCAGTTTCCGACGTGAAGGTATCTCCCTTTGCCAGCCCCCATGTTCTCCCCCGACAATGCAACTCCAATCCGTTCCAGCCATTGCAGATGATCTTTACATTGTTCGGTTCGAGGAAGGAGGGGGCGGGGATGTATTGCGCCTTGACGTGGATCCGTGATCTGACACGGCGGCACGAGGTCTAGACCGCGACGACTCGTCCCAAGATAGGTCTGGCAGGTTGCCGACGGACTCTTGACGGTCCCTCTTGGGCTAATAGACCATGAGTGTCGCGTCTAATACGTGGCGCGGTGTGACGGAAGTTGATGCGTCTCTCGTGGGCAGGCCAGCTTCCGACGGACGACCCGACGTGTCGACAGGGAGGGAGGGAATCTCGGAATCGGACGGAAGAGAGCGTCTATTAGGGTGCCGGTTTGGGTGTGGTATTTGCCATGGTGCTGGGCCTGGCGCTGATGCTGGCGCAGGGAGCTGTCGGTCAGAAAACAACGGAGGTGGTGTTGGTAATGTTGATGATGTTGATGATGTTGATGTTGTTGACATTTGAAGTGTTGAATGTCGGTCCTGGAAATTTGTTGGCGGGGTAAATCTTTCCAGCTTGAATGCCACCTGGTGACAGCCGCCAGTGCCGATGCCATCTCCAATGCCAACTAGTAATGCCAGGCCCAATCCCGCAACACAAGACTGCATATATGACCATTGGTACCGATACACAGCACCATTACCTATGTTCAAGAGATAGGAAACGGGGTCTCTCGCGAACCCACTTGGCATGCCACGGACAGAGAAGATCATCGCAAAGCCACCCCTCAGTAAGGGCTTGAGAGGTTGGCGAGGTTGTTCCGCGGGTGTGTGTCCAACAGCAAGATGGATCGTCCTATATCCGATAACTGGATAAATCTGTGACTATGGTGAATACATACACTTAATAGTCCTCGTACTAGGCCTTTGGACGTCTTACGGCCTTCGAGGCGCTAGATTTGCAACACAAGCGGTCGCGTCAACGGTCGAGGGCTCCGCGCGTTCAGGGGCTCAGGGGTGTCATCGGCGTCCAGTTTTAATCTTTTGTAGGCCTGACAAGCTGGACCAAAAATCTCGACAATCTCCCGAACATCGCGGGCTTCAAGGTTGCCAGCCACGTGCCATTCGGCCGAAAGGGCGTCCCAGAAGAGATTACCATAACTTTCAGATCCCCTCGTCGACGACATCTTTGCCGAATCCTATCCCGGAACAACGGAGGGCTGCACTGGAAGCGTCGTTCCCCAAACCATCACGAGACACCACGGAGCATTCTGGGCAAACTAAGAAGTGGAAACTTAATGGCTGAACACTACTCAAGGTCAGACGGAGAAAGAGATTGCAAAGTCAATAACGTGGGAGTTGGACGAGCACATGTTCCCGGAAAGGGTCAGGATTAGGGTTAGAATATACGTGCCGCCATCCCAGAGGAGACCTTGCCCTTGCCGAATTCGACAAGTACGAGACGATCAGGGAGTTCGACGAATGCTGTGAGAGTCTCTCCGCCACGCAGAGCTCTGGTGAGAGCGTCGTGGTGTATACCGCCGGAAAGGAGCTGCTAGATCATTTCTGCGACCTGCTGCTTTTTTGCTTCGTCGACGCTGAAATGGGGCTGGGTTGCTCTGCCGGGCAGGGACTTGGATACCTTTTCGGCGACGGCTCCATAGGAGAACGCCTTTCCGGGTGCGAAGAAGAAACCCGGGATCCAGGTCTCGCTCCAGGTGGAGCAGCTTTTGTTTGTCCATGGGATGGGGTGGTCAGCCGAGGCTGCCCTGTAGGGTTTCTCCGCTATGCTCGAGACGAGCCGGCGGTATTCTCACCATCATTCTGGGCCTAAGCTTGAGCCTAGTCTTCGGTGCCGGTTTCGGCTACGGCAGCTCCTCGCAGGGCCGGATGGATATGTCGAGTTAGCATGCGTGCAGCGGCATGTGTTTGCACCCCGGGCTGTATGGACATGTTGGGGACTTGTGTTAGTTGTGCCCTTAGAGAACGAATAAGGGGAGGGTGTTGAGCATGGCTTGAGTAGAGGACTGTTGTGAGCCACGGTCTCAAGCAACTACCGAGTTGAGAAGCTGAGTCGAATAATCAAATCGAACAGTCGTCAAGACAGTGACACTCACTTCAGCATGGATTGATTGACTACTTACCAGCAGCAGCAGTAAAGACAGCCCCACGACTCGGTAACAGCACCGGTCCTCATCCCAGCACCGTACTAACATACGCCGCTTGACTTTATAACAGCCACGACATCCCAACCCAAGTGCGCACCGCCCGATCTGGTCTTTCTTCGCCATGGGGACTGAAAACGTTCTTGACGCTTTGCATCGAGCCGGCCACGGCGGGACTGGCTTTGGTCATGGACTTGCGGCATGAGATCAGCACGCACTTCTGGTGCCCCTCGGACGCCGGGCGGCGAGGCCCAACGCGCCGGCGCCCGAAGACGGCGTAGATATCTAGATTCGCAGCAGCAAGGCCCGAGCGAACCACGGCCATATGTCTATCGTGTGGAGGGGCCGTCGGTGGGGAGGAGCTCGATGACGATGATGCGATGATCTACTAGTGCTGGTGCATGTGTCAGCCCTGCATTAGACCGGGTTAAACTTCACCTATTCCATCATGAGGTCACTTCCGTCATCATCTCCCACCTCCGCAAAGACAGGTAAACATCCATCAATCCACGTTTGTTGCTCTCCCCGCCAACGTCAACCCAATTCTGCTCACTCACTCATACACTCCACGGAATATAGCAGCAACCCGAGAGCAAATCAGAAAATATGGACAAAATGAAGAAGATCTTCCATAAGGATAAGCATGAGCCTCAGCTGAGCAGTCAGATGGGACAGAACCAGCAGACTTCCCATGTGGGACAGCAGCAATCTTCCTCGTCTGGACAGCAGACGTCAGCGACTGCTCCTTCCACCAGCGGACAGGCCGAGACAGGCGAGGGTGTGATCCTGCACACGACCCTGGGCGATATCACGATTGCGCTGTATAGGGACGAGACGCCCAAGGTTCGTTATCCTACCCATGCCAGCAGCACCTTATCCCCTCCTTCCCCTCTGAAAATTCCGCAGCTAACAAACGTCCCAATAATAAGACATGCAAGAACTTCTCCGAGCTCGCCCGCACCGGCAAGTACGACAACGTCGTCTTCCACCGCATCATCCCGGGCTTCATGATCCAAGGCGGCGACCCGACCGGCACCGGCAGCGGCGGCTCGTCCATCTACGGGAGCAAGTTCGAGGACGAGATCGTGGGGACCCTGCGGCATGAGGACAAGGGCACGCTTTCTATGGCGAATTCGGGGCCGGGGACGAATGGGAGCCAGTTTTTTATCAGTACGTGTCACATCCAAGGGGGATGTAGTGGAAGTGGATTACGAGATGAGATGCACAGCTGACTGAAAGATTGTAGCTCTCGGAGCAACGCCGCATCTGAACGGCAAGCACACTGTTTTTGGACACGTGGTGCAGGGCATGGATGTTGTGGACAAGCTTGGCGCGGTGAGGACGGATGGCAGCGATCGGCCGCTTCAGGAGGTCAAGATCGAGAGCTGCGAGGTCGTTTTCTAAGGGGCTCGCGGACGATATACAGGAAGAAGCGGTTGATGTGTAATGTCAAGGACAGCGGCGCGGCGGTTGTTGGTTATGGTCAGTATGTACAAATGCAATAACAGTACATGCTTGACAACTATCAAGCAGAACAAGACTCTTAAGACACTCTGACCAACTGCTCATTCTAAGAAAAAATGGATTCATTATTCTCGGCTCTACCGTCGCTTTGAACGTCGAGCTATTGATGTACGTCTGCCTCATCACTGTGGCCTAAAATGTGATGGGAGGACTTACCCACGATAGCTTCGAGCGAGCCGACTGCGTCCGGCACCCCGCGCCCTCTCAGAACTCGGAACTAATGGTCGAGGTAGATGAAGCAATAGTGTGGTAGGTGCTGCCGACTCCTTGAGGCAACTTCAAATATAGTGAGTGAGTAGATGAGTAATAGCCACCGCATGCTTCGAGTCGAAGTAAGCGCTGCGCCCTGAGCCACACCCCGTTGCATGAGTCAGCAGCCGGGCATTGGAGACTGGGCATCGGGCATCCGGCAATGGGCGTTCGAGGCTCCATGGACCTTTTCGGTGCAGCACACACACGTTGCGATTATGCGGACAAGACTATTGACAGCATTCGGTTGACAGCAAACACCACGCCTGTGTGGTGTGTGTCGGTCGATAATTCGGATGGTATCTGATGATTGATGTAGGTTCGCATGAGTATTTGCGTGTGCCTCGATACATGCTGCCGTACTATTCATGGTTGTCATTGAAGAAAAAGGTGATAGTGAAGCTGATGCTTGCCAGACGAATGAAAAGGAATAGTTCTTCCGCGCCCATCGCGGCGAACATTGGGTCTCTGTAAGTACCTGTTTAGCAGTGATATGAAGTTCTATGGGGAGAATCTAGCTATAACTACGGCTGTAGATATCCAGGCAATCAAAGGCGGGCACACGTGTCTCATGCCCTATAATCTGTGGCAGCCGCGCCATTGTCACAATGCACACTCCTGCCACAGACGTGCCGCAGGCCGCTGTCTCGGGTGTCCAGACCACTGTATCACTGAGTCACTGAATCACTCGGCCACTGAGAGAGCTCCCTTGAGGAACAAGAGCCTCGAACCCACAGTCCGCAGCATAGTCCGCAGCATAGATACATCGAATCCAAGGCTTCACTCACTCCATAGCGTACGGCTTCCATAGGTATAAATACATGCGCATGCGCTCACTGCAAGTTGTTTGGCGTTGTGTATCTGTACCTCTGCAGACGGACTGAACTGAGCTGGGATGAGCTGGGATGAGCTGGGATGAGCTGAGCTGGGATGAGAATAAAGTGACCTCTATCCACTAAACTACTAAGGCATGGACAGGGACAGAGCATCGTCTAGTTCCATCAAGAGCCGGCTGTCTTGAGAAGTGGATGTCGGTCGACAGCTCCTATGTAAGAAAGTATGTAGTCCGCGAGTGAACAGGCGTCAGCTATCACGCTCATGCCAACCAATGCATTCATTGACTTTCGGCGACGGAAAAGGAGCATCCAACACATCCACACACATAAGATACTAAAGTGCCAGTTCTCCATGAGTATTGCACTGCTGCTTCTTCTAACTATGTATAAAAGATATTTGTTCTTTAAAAGCCGTCCGTCCACGCACCGCCTTTTCCTAGTCTAGACAGAATAACCTATACACACGTACATTCCTAGCCACCGCCAACCCTGCTTTCCCGCCAGGCCACCGCGAATCATGTCCATCATTGACGGGCTCATCCAAGCCTCTCACGAGTAAGAAATGCTTGATGATAGATCCTAGGATGGGCATTGCGGGGTACTTGGCCTTCCAGTCATAAAAGAGGATTGTTCTTCCGCGTGTCTTCTTTCCCGCGGGAATTGGATGGCCTTGTCTCCGTCAGTCGTCTCGAATGAGATGTCGACTTTGAAAGCAGTCCCATCGTCAGTGTACTTGACAAGTGGCCCCTTCGCCATGGTGATGAGTTCATCTCTATACGATGTTCGTTTGACCAAGCTTCTGGGCTGGCGGAATTCTTGGCTTCCGACGCTTTCGCACGCCCGTTGCTGCGAGTGGACCACGCTCGGACGGCCGAGGATACGAATGCATGGTTGCTGCGACGCCCCTTGTTGGAGTGGAAGAACCGAAGGAGAGGGCTTTGCGGAGATCGGCCGCGAAATGTTGCGCTTGCTAAAAACCGAAATCGTCGGGTGGCGGCGAGGCGGCGATGTTCGCATCTCGCTTCAGAACCCTTGCTAGCTATTTCACAGCCTCCTGACTCGTAGCGACGTTAACATCAGATAACAGCCATCCAAGATATCGTAGATACTCGGGTGACATGTAACGGCGGGGGCATAGATGTGGGACAGCCCTAGATGTGGGACAGTTTTCACACCCAACATCACAATGTTCACTTACACATATCTCTACCGGCAATGAAGCCCTAGATATCGTAAATACTGCACTGAAATCGTCTTTTCTTGTTATTTTTAGCAATGCTGGTTTCATCAGGTTTACCACTGCGGGATGGGCCGCTGTGGGGGTCGGAAGTTAGCACTCCCGGCCCTAATCTGAGGGGTAATGGGACCCGTGCCCCCTATCCCCTTCATTGTAGCAGAAGTTCTGCTGTTCTTTTTTTTTCTTTTTTTCTGTCAGTATTATAGGCTTCAGTACGTTGAAATGCCTCCTTTATACACTCTAAAAGACCTCGCAGAGGCAATTGCCGCTGTGAACGATGGCATATCCCTCCGCAAGGCGCATCAACGCTGGGGAGTACCGAAATCAACTCTTGCGCCGAAGGTAGACGGCACCACGATGTGCCCAACGCTGACTAGCCGTGAGGGGGCTCTTAGGAGCCAAAAGTTAAGCCTTGCGCAAGAAACTCGGGTTATATTATGGATCCTCTATCAAGAGAAGGCTGGCCACGTGCCAACTCACGGCAATATGAGGTATATCATCCGGAAGATCTTATAGTCCGAGGGCAGGGCAGATCATTTAGGGGACAAATACATACGAAATTTCATTCGCAGGCACCCAGAGATAAAGACCAAGATGGGCAGAAAGCTGGACTACAAGTGTATCAATGCCGCCACGCCCGAGAACATCAATGGCTTCCATGATCTCTATAAGGAGTTCGCCTTCATCAAACCCGCAAACCAGGCAAATATCGATAAGTACGGCATTATGCAGGGCTGGCAGTATGTAAGTGCCTAATCTAAGTGCTTTTCGGACGGCTGACCGGGCCGATAATAGGTCTGATGGCCTTGTAATAGGTAGTTCTGGCTCAAAAGGGGCCAACGTCAAGTCTAACAACGACCGCACGTGGACTACAGTGGTCAAATCAATCACTGCCACTGGGAAGAAGCTCCAGCCGCTCGTTATTTTCAAGGCGAAGTCGATACAGACTCAGTGGTTTAAAGAGCAGCTTATTATTGAGCATCCCGCGATGGCAGAGTGGATAGTGACGTACTCCATTAACGGCTGGTCCTCAAACGAGATCGCGTTAAAGTGGCTTGAAAAGGCAAGTAAATAACGAGTACTACTCATTAACTACGTGTTAATAAGCCTCAGATATATCTCCCTGATACAGCTCCTGAAGATCCCGATGATTTTCGCCTCCTAATATTAGATGGCTATGGCAACCACTGCTCGGATAAGTTTATATATCTTTGCTACATTAACAACGTATATATGTGCTTTTTTCCAGCTCATACGGTAAGTTAGATGATCAGTTAGTAGTTATTTTGCTAATAGGGATAGTCTCATATCTTCCAGCCGCTGGATTTGACAGTATTCTCTGTTATTAAAGCCGCCTACTGCCGCTTGATCAATCATCTTGGCCAGCTCAACGATTCGGCCCTTATTGGCAAGATTAAGTTCCTTAGTTGCCTAGCGAAAGCTCGCGATAAAGCTACGCCGGCTATCGTGCATTTGGGGTGGCGTACTGCTGGGCTTTGGCCTGTAAATCGACGAAAAATGTTGACAAACGAGCATGTGGTAAAGGCGGCGGAGATCCAAGCAGCAGCAGCTGCTATAATGGACCCTGAGACCACCCACGAGGCCCTAGAAGCCCCTAAATCAGGGCAGGACATAGCCCTGATGCTATCACCAATTGCTGAGACCCCTAAGCAGCGAGCAGTAGTACGCTCGGTTGCAAAGTCGTACGATGAGATGGTGGTTGAGCTAGCCCTCACAAAGGAGCTACTGGAGGCAAAAGACGCCAAAATGGAGCTTCTACAGCCAAAAAAGCGCCATAAGGCACCTCAAGAAGAGCCTAATCAATGACTATAAAGAGTTGGGGCCGTTATTCAGGAGCAGATCGAGCAAACGGAGGCTGCGCGAGTCTTGATCGAGCAGCGGGCCAAGAAACAACGAATTGTGGCCGAATTGCAGAACCTGCACATGAATGAATCAGAGAAACCACTCTCTGATGACTCTCTCTCGCCTGAATCATCAGATTCAGAAGAATTTGAGCCTTTAGAAAGTGTTGAGGATAAAGGGGTTATTATTGATGAAGGGGACAAAAGCGAGGATGAGGAGGATGAGGAGCCCATTGTGATTCGATCTTCGCGCTGCGCAATCCGCCAGCCTGCACGGTACCGCGACAAAAATTAGTATTGCTGAAAACTCCAAGAAAAGGCGATTCTTTTGCTGTTTTTATATTATCTAGAGCCTCAATCCAGATGGAGTTATGTGTGGGTGCAAGTGTGGTCTTTTGGTGTGAAAACTGTCCCACATCTAGGGCTGTCCCACATCTATACCCCCGCCGTTACACGGTTGGCTCCGGGAGCTACGCTGGAAGAAGATATTTAGGCAGCAAGAGCTCAACTGAACAGCGACCAGGACATGTACACGGTTGGCAGGGTGTAGACCTAGGTGCCGAGGGCCTCAAAACACTCGGCGCGAATCCTTGGGTTGACTTCGTGTTCCCAACCCAGCAGATTGAGAGATGGAGATGGTATCGATGTTGGAATTGAGCCAGGCTATGTCGCAATCTTGAGCAAATTCAAGATTTGCTCCACGAACCACACACTCTTTGGGTCGATGTCACTACGCGCTTGGTTGGGGTTGGGTGACAAGTGACGGGGGGTAGTTGATAATGGCATGGGGAGCACCAGCTTGAAGAATGCAATAGGACTGACTCTCCGGCAGCCCGCTCTCTCGCGCCCCCAATGCGTCCAGCGGCGGCGCGGAGAATGAACCCGTCCGTCGGCTGCAATGAGTTGTTCATCGCTTGCTGTCTGTCTCCCATGCGACGCCGAGGAACTTGCATGGCTCGACGTGTGCTCGATTACGGGGCCGATGTCGACGAGCGAGCGGCATGGGATCCTCCATTGGCAGCTGCGGATATATCTCGGACGCGCAATGCTGAAGGGCATTCCGCCTTGACATGACTACCTAAGGTAGAAACCCGAAAAGACAAAGGTGAGCCGAAGGTCTGACGAGCTGAAGAATATTCAGCCTTGACCTGACTAGGAACCGAGATGAGAATGGCGAATGGCGGTGCGAGTGGCTGATCGTTGGAGGATCCCGTCTTGACATTGAAGTCAAGCTCACTAAGAGCTTGAGTACTGGCATGTGGTTGATGGTTTGTACGTCCAGAGGCTGTCGGCCCCGGCGAGGGGAGCGTTGACGACGAGGACTCCGATCTGTTAACATGCCCGTGGTGATTGAGTCATGAGGTAAGGAGATGGGGACGGAGTTGATGCTGCCGGCTGTCGCGGTGGTGGTGGTGGTGATGGTGACACTCGGTCGCTCTTGGGCGTGGTTGTTGTCGATTCCAGATACACTTGCGTCGAGTTGCCGCTGAACGTCTGGGTCTATGGCTTGAACCATCGCATCGGCTCGAACACTAGCCATTTGCTCACAACCAATCTTCGCTGCATCTCTCTTCCAACTGAGAGAAAAGGATGTGCATATGCAATGGCTCGGCCTGGGCTATTGGCCCTAGATCTGGCTACTCCACATCACCCCGAGAGACGAGGAAGTTGCGGGCCTTGATCAGGATATTCTAGGCCTCGAGTGCCCCGTTGTATTGCTGGGCTGTGACGACGCGGTCGTTGATGCGGTACTCGCTCGATCCCCGGTTCGTGATAGCCCGCTTCTAGCGATGCTCGACATGGATCCAAAGGAGATAAGTCTGCTTGTTTTGGTATTGGTGATGTACCTGGGTGAAATTGTCGGTCTTACCGAAAGCAGTACATCTTGTCAGGTTATAGTGCTTAACTTTTGGTTTCAGCGAGCTTTTCGTCGAGATGGCAAGGGTGCGTGCCCTCAGGAGATTGGGCGAGTCAGCCCAAGCGGCACCCATATCTTTTCCACCATCGTCGTCCTCGTCATCGTCATCGTCGTTCTCGTCGTCCTCGTCGTCCGTGTTGATCTCAATCGCGTCCCCGTTCTGGAACCGCGGGGGAGATCTGGCCGATTTGGCAACCGACTTGGCTGCCATGACTCCTTGGAGGCGTCCAGGCATCTTGTACGATGGGCTTGCCGAATTTGGGTTGAGTGCTTATTCCAAGGTGCTTATTCCAGAGTCCAGATGCGGCCTGTCTAGCGCTATTCCGTTGCTCCCATGTACTGATTCAACGCTTCGACTGCTTATTCTAGGGTGCTTATTCTTGACGTAGCAGTTGCGCTTTTACCTGTGGAAGTTTACCTGTGGAAGATGGCTGCCCTCAGATTTGTGCAGACTCGGTGTATTCTACAGAGAGAGTGGTAGAATGGTGGAGTAAAGGCGTAAAAGGGGAGTGGTGTGGGGCCATCCACGGGTTGAATGCTTCCATTGTTCATTGTTTTGCCCATTGTTCATTCTTGTGTCTATTTTTCATTGTTGTGTCTATTGTTCATTGTTGTGCACGTAATTGTGTCGAGCTCCAGGTGGTTGCCGTTACTACAATTACCTATCACTCAATTTCCAGCCCGAGGGGGAAATTTGAGATCTGCCTTACCTTTAGGTTGGATCACTTCGCAGTCCCAACCCATCTCACCCTGCTCTTCTTCTCTTTGACGCATCCTCAACATCTCGCATCGAAAGAGCTCAACAAAGATATCATCGGCGCGCTTCCTCAAGACTGTGTGGTTATCATCGTCGAATACATTGATCTCGATGATATTACGGTATGTCTCAGAGTCTCCAAGACCTGGCGTGAACGATTGTTTGAGAATTTTGCCATCTTCCCTATCATCCGTCGATTCTTCCCTTCCTTGTCTTTAGCTCGGAATGCGCAGCCCGGTTCTCAGCCTGACTACCGCGCACTTTTCTGCCAGGCAATGCAGCAGCGACGAAACAGAACGGCAGGCCGGCCCAATTCGGTGATGACAAAGCTCTACCGCTGGGAAGACGAAAAGTTTTTCTCTGCGAAAAACAGCTACGACGACTTTGACAGGCTAAACATGCCATGGGATCATGGCCATGAAGCGGTTGGACCAAACTGCCTCTACGCCTGCGGAAAGATTGCGTGGATGCCAGAAATGCGTCTCATTATTCTTGACGACCTCGCAAACAGGAGCCGCATGATCTACAGCGTTCCTCTGATTGTACCCATGGGGACGGATACAGACCTTTCGGCCCTAGGAGACAAACTGCTTGTCGTCATTAGTGACAGAACTTTGTAAGTGGTCAACTGCCCCCCGTTTGCGCATGGTGAAAGAGATATATATACTGCGTGCGGCATCACTGTACGTATGATCCGATTGCTAATGGCGTTTATATAGACTTGCATGGGAATACACCTCTGGCCGGTTCTCTTCCGTTACTTTACCTGGAGAAGTCACCCGATGCAGCACTGAAGGGCTGCGGGTAGCCGTCGTCACCCAAGCCGAGAATGACAGCAAGGAACTTATCGTCTGGTACTTCCAGGGCGACCTCCAGCGGCTCGAATACGCAAGCCTGCTCAATGATGTTACAAAGGAAGATAAAGATGCGAAGGATCACTTCGTCAACAACCTCGACATCATACTACACACCCATCAGGACGATGTGGCGTTCGTAGTCACTGCATATCCCGACATTCGCTCTGTCAAGCCCGGACAGCCCGGCCATACTAACCTTCGTGGCAAGGAAATTATGAGAGCGACGACAGTGTTCCTATATGGAACAAGAGCGAGGTAGGATGACATCTGATTTTTCCTGACCCCTCTCACCCGAAAGTACGCAAGAGGCTGCATTGAAGTTTTCAAACTCGGAAGCCAAAGCTCCGCGTGTTTCAGACCAGAGACCCTGTCACAGAACCCACACGTGGTCCTGGTGTCTCCCACACACCACTACAACGTTTCTTCTGATTGGGGATGGCCCGATAGACCCCTGTAGCCGTCGGCACGAGGACACGGCCAATCATTTATTGCCACATCTATGCCCAACCTGGTTTCTTCCGGCCCCCTGTGGTGAACTTACCCGGCCAGTCACACACTTGAAACCCGGCGTCTACTGGCGCCAGAGTTCTTCAGTCTTCCGTATGTGGATAAGGCTGGGTTGCCCGCACTGGGAAGAGCGTTAAAACGAGCAGATGGAATGGCAGGGGCCAGCAGAAGATACCAGAGTGGTACCGACATTGTGGGAGTCTCGTGGAAAAGTCTCTACCGCCCTCGGTCTGGAAATAGAATCCCGTCAAGACGTCATGGCATTAAACAAGTGTAGTCGGTGGCACATTGACAACAAGACTCGGGGGCTTCAATTCGTGGGGATGGATCTATCTACCGCCAAATTGTTTGCATTGGTCGATGGGTCATTTGCGAAGGGGCGAATGCAGGTGCTACCTTGGGCCGGTGAGCTCCTCACTAAGGTCATCGTACTGAAGCTAGACGAACAGCTTTCATATGGCATCAGCACGTTACCAGCCGATGGCGCGGCCCACACCCTCCACCTCGTGCCACCCGTTTCGTTGATGTGTGGGTGGTTGTGAGGCATGGCTTTCAGCACGCTGCCAGCCGATCACCAGCGCATCAATCCGGATCACGCCTGCGCTGTGTCGGTACAGCCTCGTCGTAATTAATCCAGAACAGGAAACCACAAGCAGCTCAGTCCAGGAGACCAGGGCCATCGCCGAGCAGGCAAATGCTCGGCCGACTTGGCTATCATGGAGAGGTTCGCCTATCACATTCCTCTGTCGGTCTGAGATGGATGACGTGAAAAGAGGAAGCGGTCGCCTGCAGGGCTCGTGTCGGGTGTAATGACCCCATTCCCGACAGATTAACCAGTGAACGGCTTACGCATAGGCTGAGGATCTTAATTTTGAAGGGGGGTCAGGGACCGAGTGGATAATATTCACATGTCATTCTACCCAGCTCTCGCTCGATGGAACCTGCTCGCTCCAATTACTCAATTACTCCTGCCACAACGGAGCAGTCCGGGAAGCTGCAAGTCAACGCGCCTCCTCTCCTTTCCACCCGTTCCTGCTAACAACTCGGCAGAATAGCACGAGGGTCGGTTTCCAAAGTGATAGCGATTGATTCCAGCGCTCCAATCTCATACCATATAACATTTCTGATTTGGCCGGTTTCTGCCAACTGTCGTAATGTCGATGCGTGAAATTCGGAAGGCTCTATTTTTTCATCTGATAGTGTTTCGCTAGTATCGTGCAAATATTAGGGCACTGTGAATCGTTCGCTCACAGACATCATTTTGCCGTGGAGATTGAGATTGAGGGCAGCCGAAAGAAATGGCGTGTGTCGGCTCACATAACAGAGCCAAATTGTACCAAAATGCCTCTCATCGAGTTCGAGAATAAACTTTTCAAGATATTGTGGGCAAATCCGGAAGGTTGTCCAGGAGGTCGTCGAGGCGGTGACCGGCGATGTGTCTACCTGAGGCATCTGGAATAGCCAGTCATCCGCTAGGAGAGGTGCAGAAGCCCACTTAGTAGCACATCCCTCGTCCGTGACTGCATTATCGAGGACCAAGTCCCCAGGATGATGTTGGTTTCTCTACAAGTTCGGCGCGGGAGAAAATCTTGTTGTTCCCGCCTTTCCACCAAACTGGCCGTATAGATCTTATTCTTCTCGTGTTGCTCCTTCGTACGATCAGCAACGCTTTAGTACTTGGCTGAGAGCTCCTTCAGCAATGGTAAGACTAGAGTTAATACATCACTGTCATCTGGACAGTCGTTGCTTATGTTGCTACAGAAGGTTTATTGTGAGTTTCGGAGATAAAGTAGCAAGTCAAACGATGGGGATGGCACTTACAAGGCGAGCTTTACTGCCTTTACTTGTTCAGCTGTTTTGGTCTTTATCATGTGTTCAAGCCTTGTCAAAAGCTGGTTATGAGATTTGATGTCGTGAAGAGCGGACTGGGCTTTTGAACCTTCCGATTCTGCCATCTCGAGCTTTTTCGCAGCATCACCTTTGACGGTGAGAAGTTCTTCTTCCAGACGCTGCTTGTCGAGAATGGAACGGGTCTCCGAAGCCTTCGCCATGTTTGCAGTCTTGTCATTAGCCGTAGACAGTGCTGATTTGACGCTGTCTAGCTCCTTTCGCATATGGTCGCTTGCATCGCGCAGCTTCGATAGCTCTCTCTGAAGTATGGCCAGGCAAGAGTGGAGTCCGGCTGGAAGCGCTGGATGGGGTGACAGCGGTGCATCGTGAGCTCCGCCTCTGACTGGTTCACGATCATCGTCGCAACAAGCCAGATTGCTTCCAGATGTCGGCGAATCTAATCACCGTGTGAGCTGTTGAATTTGCTCCGTGATTTGAGCAATAGCACTGCTCAGTTCATCTATATAAACGGTTTCAGCTGCCCTGGCTGTTGGTACAGACTGTGACCCGTCCCTGCAGAGGGGCGGTAATCGACGTTTGCTCGCTGGTTCTCCTGGCAGCTCAAGGCCTTGACTTGGCTTTCGCTTTCGAGACGCACCAGACTCCCTATGCACTTCACGTTAGCCACTCACGTCGTCGCTGGAAGAATATCTAGGCAATAGAACACACCCCGAGGTTGGATTCACCGAATCGTGATTGTTCACATTACTGTCTGGCCGTCGCTGCCGTTGAAGTTGGTCCGGAGCAGCGGTGGTGCTCGGCCGCTTGAAAAACGCATTTGGTGGGAGACGGATGGGTTGGGCCAAGTTCGCACCACGAGTTCTGAACTCGGTCAATGCTGTCTGTACGTCATCCGGGATTTCGGAAGTTCTATCGAAATCAACATGTCTAACTTTCGAAAACACCCCAATGGTGTTCCCGTGCTTGTTTGTGAAGATTTGCAAGAGAAAGGTAGAGGAGCGGTGGTGAAGCGGCAAAGTCTCCGCGGTGTTAGTATTGCCTATCTCCTTGGACGTTGGAGGCTTATTGGCGGCCACTCGTTGAGATCGACGCGGTGGATTTTGGCTTGCCGGTCCCGCCATTTGCGAATTGATGTAGCTGGGTCGAAGCTGTGAAGAAACAACAACCAGATCGAGAGGCATAGGTCGTAAGCAAGACCGTAACAGGGTATCAGGGGCTGCAGATGGGAAGCTCAATGCGCAATACAAGACGGCGAAAGTGAGCTGGAAGAGCGCGTGGACGTTGCGATTAAAGAAGACAGAGGCCTAGACGGCAAACGAGAATGACTCCAGGTATTTGACAAGCTCGAACCAAGGAGTAAACTCGCAGTGCAGAAAGATGCGGTTTAGAGGCCAATCGATTGATGTGATTACGCGCCGCGTCTGTTCCACTCTGGGGTTGTTTGGGGTCTACCACATTCTACCCCAGTCCTCGGATACAATCATGTCCGATCTAATGCAGGGTCTTCGTCGCCGACACAAGACATATTGGGTATTGATCGCTTTCCGGACTGCTTCCCCGGAAATCAGGTTAGACAAGGTCCGGGGACCCCTTACAGATTGGGCAAGAAACTTGGTAACGTTGTGTACCGTTGTAACCTATTACATGCTTCCAGGCTGTCGCACTGAAATACATATTATGCAGCAGCAGCACTAGGATCCTCGGGCATTGACCTGAAGTGGAAAGGAGGGTACCATTGTTGTACTCGGGGGAGCTGCCCGGCTGAGCCACGCATGTAAGGGGAGAATCCGGTAGCGGCACGTATCCGTCTTGCATTGACCAACAGCGTCCTTCCTTGACTGGGAGATTGACCAGAAGCACGCCGTCTCCGCCTTCCTGAGGGGAGAACTAGACGAAGACGTCTTCATTTGGGACCCCCGGTGGCCTCGCTGACTTCTTCGAGATGTATCCAGAGGAGAAAATCACATCGCCTGCGCTACCGAGCGAAGGTTCCATTGTTGTTTGAAACGTATTTTTATTGCAGTCCTCAAATAACTGATGTGGAGCTCTGTTGGTCTGTTGCGTTAAGAGCCTGCCTCGTTAAAAGGTGGGTGAAAGGACAGCTAGGCGCTTCTGGGAGACACCTGACTGCCATGAGGCCGTGTGGGTAACTGGTGATCGCACCTTGTGTGAATGTCCATGTCTATGTTTATAGCTTTCCGTTCTATCCTTCCTACCAAGGTCCCGACCAACTCAATCCACGTTAATAGGACCCCATCGTGGAGTCAAGTTAACACCTTTATCGTCGCTTAATTAATATACGTATATAAACGAGGGGTTTTACTTCCGGAAGTTGATATTATCGTCAGTTAACATAAAGTAAAAGGACTTTTTTTAAGCTATTTTTCTTAGCGAAACTAGCTCGAAAAAAAATGTTGTAAATAAAATTAAAACGTTTAAATGTTTAAAAAAGCCGTAGCTAGCTTTATATGATGTTATTTATAAGTAAATATCTTTTAAAATACTTGATATAAATAAACAGAGCTTTTACTTTTTTATGGTGTTTTATTCTAAAACATTTCGGCTACACAAAAATCTGTAAAAAATGCTAGCAATGAATTTTATACCTTTAAACGTTAGAAAAGGTTATAATTGATCTTATATAATATTATTTGTTACTGATTATCTTTATACATATAAGAATTAATAGCATAATTAAGATTTGAATTTAAATCTTATTTTTTTTAATTAAGCGTTTTATTTTGAATAAATTAAAAATAAACGTTTGACTTATAAAACTTGAACTTTTAAATTATGAAACGACCTTATTATTGATATAAAATATATTTCTTTAATTTTATAGATAGTTTTAAAGATAATTACAGAGTTAAAAAGAAGCCGGGGGGAAAATATAAGATTTATTAGAAATATGTTTTATACTTAATAAATGAATAAATGAATAAATAAAAAAGAAACACAATTAAAAATTAAAGAAAAAAACTTATTTTGTTTCAACCTCACGAGCTATTGCCCCAAGAAAATTACACAACATTTTCTTACATTTAAAATTAAACTTTAATTTAAATAAATAAGATTAAATTTTAATATTCAAATGATTTTGTTAACAATATAGGGTTTTTAAGTCGTACATACAGATTTAATTGTAAATATATGGCTACAAATAAAAAATAAATAAAAAGCATATAATTAATAAGAAAGCATGCTTTATATGTATATATAATAAAATAAAATATTAAAAGAGTTTAAAAAAACTATTTATGTATTTCAATGATTTTTATTATAAATTTAAATAAATTAGCGCTTCTTAAACTAGGTAATAAACGAAAATTGATTTAAAAATAAATTATAAACAATATATACTTTAATAACTATATATAAGATTAAAAACAAGATGATCTTTAATTTTTAATACAAGCGCTTATTAAACTCTTTATTTTAACTCGTTATAAAAAAACCAGACAAGAATGAACTTTTTAGTTAAAGAGATAGTCTCAGTCCAAAAAGTTGTTTAAAAATAATAATTTTTAAGTAAAAAAAATCCTTTTTTAAAAATTATAAGATTACGTATTTTAATTACTATAAACAACCTATATTTTTATTATTTAAAAACCTGTTTTATTTTTAACGTAAATATTAAAAATTCAGTTTGTTATAATATAAATTCTATAAAATTAATAGGTTTTTTTCTTAATACAAAATGCTTATCTTATTTTTAAATTTATTGAAAATTATAAAAAAAAAAAAAAACATATCAGATATATATAAAGCGGTAAAATCAACGGATTAAAAAGCGGTTATTAAAAAAAAAGCAATATTATTATTTGTTTTAAATTTTATTATAAATTTAAACAAATTAGTTCTTTTTAAGCTTCATAGTACTAGTTATAACTAAAGGTACACTCCTTGGCCAGAAGTCTCCGAGCCCACTTTTTAAGCAGCCTTCAACGCCTACACCCTCCACCTTTTAACATTCACAAGGCACCCATTCTCGCTGTAATGATATAGAAAAAAAATTGTATTGTGTAAGCCATTCAATAGTGTGTGTACCAGCCACGTACTCTTTTATTGCGGCGATTCAGTTGCCAAGAGATTCGATGAGAACGCGTACGTCCTCAGGATCGATCTTTGACCACGCCCTTTTGATTAACTCTTTGGCATATGTCTCATGGGTAATATTAGCGTTTAAATCAGCGAAACCAGGCTTTATTCTCTATATCTGCTTCTTCAGAAGTGCCAAAACGTGCTTGATCAGATTCAAATCAGGGTTGTGAGCAGGCCAGTCGATCGTCCAGATGCCGTGCTCTTCTAGCCACTCTGGAGTGCCTCCAAATCGATAGATACGAGTGTAATCTTGCATAAAAGGATCCCCAGCCTCGTAGAACGGAAGCAGCCCTTCCTCAATGACATCTTGATATAAAGCTAAAGATACTCCTTTGCAAGGAGCATCTGTTGAATTAAAGGTACGCCTAGAAGGCATTTTGACAGGTAGACAACAGAACCTAGTTGTTCCGTCCCAATTCAGCCCCTTCTGGCACAAAACTGCCACGGTCGCACAAGGATACTTTAGACATAGAGAATATACACACACACTTCACTCTGACGATTGACTCAAATCTGACAGCATCCTTATCGGGCTCGTAAAAGATGATTTTGCTTAAGCCACCTTCTCCATTGCGTAACCAGATCAAATCCTAACACATAATGAAGATACGGGGTCTCCCATGGCTCCGAGGGTTCACAAGATCCTGCCTGTTACGTTCAGAAGAGAGGCGGATGACCCAATCGCCCGGATTATCGGGTGAACTCTGAACCGTGACTTTGTCTGAGAAGAGCATTCGCATCAGCTCTTCCAGATTCTCCAGGGAGTCGTATTGATTGCAAAAAGCGAGCCTCTCTCGTGTATTGTTTTTCATAAGCTTGATCCGCTTCACTGCCTTCCATTTGTAAAGCCCATAAGCACAAAGAATGCGTTTAATAGTGGTATAAAAGTAGAGAACCTTGCTTTCTTTTTTAAGCTCTTTGTAGGAGGCCTTGAGTTACTTTGTGCCATTTTAATTAGCTGAGTTTCTTTGCGTTTATTTAGAGTCTTTGTGGCTCCCTCTCAAGGTCAAGAGACCGTGGTGTTATGCTCTCTAGCAGTATTGATAATGCTGGCCATAGTTTGAGGCCGATCTAGATAAAACGCGCTTGCGACATCGTC